AAAAGTGGTGTTTTTTCTTTTTTTCTCCCCCCGCGCACCCCCCCCCCCCCCCCCCCCCCCGCCATTCTCGTGTTGCTGCTTCCCTCTCCGACATACACTCCAACTGCCTCAGAAGCTTACTTCCATCAATGCGAGAGGCCATGTTGTTTTGTTCACTTAAGCTGACCTCATGACATTAATGAAGGCAAGCTGTTGTGGACAAAAGCTCACTCAGTCGTGCCTAACAACAGAGACCTGCTAAGAATATCACTTTCCTCAGATTCTTTGTTTCTCATAATTCAAAATGTGACTCAGAGACATTCGTTCAGTCACATAAAAACACACCAACGCTGCAAACTTTGGACCCGTATTCTCCCGTGCTGCTGCTGGACTGTCTTAACCTGGTTCTCCTGAAAGAGAAATAATCTCATCAAGAACGTCAGTCTGTGTGATGTACGTCTAATAAGGTCTCTGTCTATCACAGTCCGCTGAGGCAGCATGTACACACACTGTGGTTTATCCTCCTTTGTGCGGGCACACACACACAAACACACACACCTGTCAATCCTATAAGCACCTTGTGTAACGTGTTTATTTACGGACAGATGCACATGCACACATATGCATGAACAGCTAACCTGAAGACCAGGTTGTTGCATGTTTACATCCCAGTCACACTGGTGCCACTGGTGTAATTCTGTCTGTAAATGTATCTTTCTGGGTTTTATTTTCCTGGAGGCTCATCTATGGCCTGAGCACATATGCAGGGGAAGAGGCTTAAATATTCTCAGCTACTGATGTTAAAAAATTAACATGTTGTAATTCCTCAATTATATCTCCCTCCCCCCGTTCTCCTAGCTTATAACTAGAGTATATAGGGAAACCTTTTCTTCAAAAATTTGACCAGTTAGAACCGGCCACTAATTTGCATCCATTCATCTTTGACAGCTTCAGTCTTTACAGTGAGCTTGAGTCGATCTCAGCGGTGTTTGAAATGTGAGAAGAAGATGAACATACTTTGAGATAACCCGTTGACACACCTATGCAAAAAATAAATAAATATATTTATATGTACAGGATTAGACTTGTTACAGTGGATTTTAACCGGTTATTAAACTGTAAGATTTCCCATGATGCACTTTCATCTCCTAACTTGAGTCCTGTCGTTGTGTTTTCCTCCTCCACCTGCAGTGTGCCCTGTCCAGTGCAAACACCGAGCCTGCACAAAGGATGACCAGTGTTGCCATGAGCAGTGTCTGGGTGGCTGCCTGAAGCCCGACTCAGCCGGTCACTGCGTGGCCTGTCGTGGACTCCAACACGAGGGCACCTGTGTGGATCGCTGCCCAGAAACCCACTTAACCTTCAAAGGCTGGCGTTGTGTCTCCTTTGCTTTCTGCCAAGAGCTCCACAACCAGTGTAAGAGAGAGAAGGAGCACTCCAAGAAGGCCGACTGCCAGGAGTATGTAATCCACAACGGAGCCTGCATGCCCGAGTGTCCCTCAGGGTACACCATCGTCAACTCCTCCACGTAAGTGCACTCCGGTGTCCCCTCGAGGACTCTTTACGCTACGAGAGAATAACCTTTGGTCAGTGTGCTTTGAGGAATCCTTTTGATGCGCAAGAAAGGAGTGCAGGAGAACAGGCACACACACTTTAATCTGTGTGTGTGTGTGTGTGTATAAGTGGGTGTTTGTGTGTCAGTGGGAGCGCTGAGTCAAACGAGTGCAGCCCAGCAGGGAGGCTGACACATCTGTGTCGCTGCTCTGCTGATCCTCTCTGGCTGCTGCCGGACACGTGTGCTGTGGTTCACAGCCTTCCCTCTGCTCTGGTCACAGCACCGATGTACCATCTGCACGTCGTGTTGACACGTACATACGTCCCCGGTTGTTGTGTCTGTGGAGACAGCCCTGACCTGCCTTTGACCTCCGTCTCTTTGAAGCCCTGTTGATTACTGTGGGTGTGTCTGCAGGCACCAAAACTCCACAACGCCCGACCACAGCTGGAGCTTTCGAAACCTGTTGTCTTTTGTTACAGCGCGGTCAGTGGACCGGCCTGCGGCTGACCATCAGAGCAGTCAGCGGCTCGACTCCCTGTGGGTGGCTGCTAAAAGAGATTAAGGCAGTGTCTGGCAGTGACAGCAGCTCAGACCGAGCGACAACAGTGATGACAGTGAAGGGTGGTCGTGTTGCTGCTGCCGCTGCTGTCGCCCTGTTTGTGCTTGAGAAATATATATTGAAATCATACAGAATACAGAAAAATATATATATAAATATGTGTATATGTGTATGTGTATACATTTATATATATATATATAAACATATGTTTGTGTTTGTATGTATTCCTGTATGATCAATTGACTGACAGTAAAACAGGCAGGGTTGTTATCTGATCTCCAGCTGCTCAATCTTGTCAATTATTCTCTCACAGATTCAGTCAGGGGGCGCCACTGCACTTGTGATGACCTGTGGGCAGAGGTTTAAATCCTAAAGCTCCTGCTGACCCCGGTCAACCCTCTGCTTCTTTACTTTTACCCCCATATGGTTCACCCTGTTGGTCATCAGTCTTCTTCACTCACTGTCTTAATGCTAAGCTAAAGGAAATGAAAGTGTAGCAGATGAAAAAGTGGTCTATATCCCTCTTTTATTTCCTTAACATATTGCCAAACAAACTACCACGCTCAAAAACAGCCTTCTGTTGAGAAAGACATGTTTGGTATTTTATTCAAAATAGTATTTTATTTTTTATTTTATGTTTGTTTATGTTAATATTGAAATAATGTTTTATTATTTTTACAAGGACCTTTTTTTCACCTTGTCAACATGAAGAGGTTTCTGCAGAATATTGTTGAAAATTGTTGAAGTAATCCTTGGAAATAGGTCTCCAAGCCTCTTGCAGAACACCCCAAAGCTTTTCTTCAGATGTGGATGGGTTTTGTGACCTTTGCCGTCAGGTTGATCCCAAAAAGATTTGACGATATTGCGAGCCAGGACCTGTTGTTCACCCTAAAAGGATCTACTCATCACTGCTCATCATTTCACTATTCCTCTTTTTCAAAATGAGCAGTGGTGTTGAGAATGTGTGTGTATTTGTGCAGACTTTCTGGGGAAGGGACACTACTGTTGGTCCCCATGGAGTAAGGGGGGGTTTTTATAGGTTAAAGATTGGTTTGGAGATTACAATTTCTAACTTTACCTCAGGCTTGGTCTTAGTTCTTTTTTGAGAGGTGGTACTTTTCATGAGAACGTTACGTAAGGCTGGTCCTGAATCAGCTGTTTATCGTTCACACTCATTTTGTACAAACAGAAGAACTCAGGGAGAAATGAGAACGTTTTGATATCTACTGTATCTGTCTGTTTAAGAGCTTGTTTACATCAGCTCTAATTCTTTCTGTAGATCACATGACGACTTGTTTGTAAAAGGTGTCACTCATCCTGTAGTTGTGTAACCTGAGACACAAGTCTGCAGTTCCCTTTTAGCCCCGTGGGGCCTCTGAGCACCTTCAGCGATTTGACTCACTTTACTGTGAAATGCTGTAGTAGAGAGTTGCTGCTCTAAAACCCACAGATGGAGCTGGTGCAACTTCCTATTTGACTGTTAAATCAGCTGACATGTTTCAGGAGCCAAAACAGTCTAAAAATAACCTATGTTTTTTTTTAATTAAACATGCATCTGTTATAATAATATAACGATGCTAATGTCACTTCTGTATCAGTTTCAAATCTGTTGACCTACACCTGCAGTGTGTTTGTGCTGCAGTTTCCAAATTTAACAAAAATACGGAGTTACTGGGAGCACATCGCATCCCAGGTGGGGCAGGCGACGGAAAGGAGAGACAAAAATGCAACACAGAGCAACTCCCCTGCTGTCTTAGAAAAGATGTGCTTGGTGGTTTACACGATCCAGGGTTTAAGGTCTGTTTTTCAGGGAACAGTTTCCGTCTTACGCCTGTTTGACACAGTAAAAAGTGTCGGCGTCTTCATGTCAGACTCCGTCCTGTCGTAGAGTGTACGTTTGCGTTACTTTTTTGTTACAGTTTTGTTCTTCATCGTTGTTTTCTTCCCAACAGGCTCAACTGCACTCCTTGTGCAGGTCTGTGTCCAAAAGTGTGTATGGGTCAGAAAACCGTGGACTCTGTCAACGCAGCTCAGGCTCTGAGAGGCTGCACGGTTCTCAACGGGAGCATGGTCATCAACCTGCGTGGAGGAAGTGAGTATTTATAGTAGTACTGGAATACTTTGTTAGAGAAATGATAACAGAAACATAAATACCAGCAGGAAATGAAACACATCATTGTAAGATACCTAATCATATAAAAAAAATACACACTATTATTTATGAGTTAGAACGTATGACTAGTGCTAATTTTTATCCTTCAAAATGCAGTCTCCTCACAGAGTTGTGTTTGTTGTTGCCGTAGACAACATCGCAGCAGAACTGGAGGCCAGCCTGGGTCAGCTGGAGGAGATCACTGGCTACCTGACAGTGAGACGCTCCTACGCCCTCATGTCTCTCTCCTTTTTCCGAAAACTCCGTGTTATTCGTGGGGAGGAACAGGAAGTCGGGTGAGAACACGTTTTCTGAGTGCATCTCATCCTCGCTCTCTCCGAGCCTCCTCCTGTAATTATGAGTTAAAAGTGGACAGCCTGACCTTTACCAAATATCCAACTGTGGGCCATGTTTTTGGTCAGACTATTTTTCTTTTTTTTTCAAAATTATACCAAGTTCTATTTAGATCAATTGGTAAACCATTGTTGCATGATTGACAGTGTTTTTACGGTAAAGACGTTACATTCATGTGGTCCCGCCCCTTCGTTCTCTTCCAGGAATTACTCGTTTTATGCCCTGGACAATCAGAATTTGCGACAGCTGTGGGACTGGTCCAAACACAAGCTGACCATCCTGCAGGGACGCATATTTTTCCACTACAACTCTAAACTGTGCATGTCTGAGATCCGCAAGATGGAGGAGGTCACGGGAACCAAAGACAGACAGCAGAAGGGCGACATCACGAAGATCAACGGAGACCAGGCCTCATGTAAGGACCTTTTCTCTACAGCCATTGTTGTCGCGGTAGCTATGGCAACATATGATAGTCGACCTAAGAACAGGCACAAACATAATCAAAGCCATTGTTATGGTGGTCATTTCCTGTGGTTTTGTGTAAGCAGATGTCTTCCTGCAGACCTTTCACTGATATAGTTAGGCAGGAACAACCAACAGAACATAGCACGTCCAGAAATGGGATGACGGATTTGTACTGTTTACTGTATGTTGGAGGTCAACCAGGGCTCATGTCCTGTCCTGACAAATATTGATACAAGTAACTGATTATCACATATATACAACAATGGATTTGTTTTGTGGTGGGGGGCTCAGTTGTGCAATAGCTTTTCAAAAGGTTTTACCAAACAATCACTTGATAACATATTTATACTCAATTTATAGACAGATTGTATTTTAAACAGTTGATGCAATACATAATTAAAAATGATGAAATATTTTTCATACTGTATATACACAAGCATTTGTCCAAAAACCCATGTTGTTTTACTCTGTGATACACACAACCAGTGTTGGTTCTGGACTTGTTCAGCAGCAGAGCAGCTGCAAAGATTCCCCACGATGATTGATTTCAACAGGCCCAGTGTTTCCAGGATTAATTTAAGGCAGCACTTGTTTTATTTCAGTCCAGTTTGTGTGTTGGAAGGGGTTTTTTTAATCCTTCCTCCTGCTTCTCCTTAAACACACTCTCATATCAGGACAAGCACTTAAAAAGAAACACACACACACACACACACACACACAGTGGTCCTGTGAGTTCTGTGATGCTTCACACTGACCTCTAACCCCTAAATCTTAACTCATACTTGTAAATAAATCAGTGTTTCTGCTGTTTCCTCGCCGCTGCTGTTCCTGTCGGTCTATTTCTGTCACCTGTTAATAAGGGATATTTATATTTGTCAGGATACACACACACACACACACAGAGAGAGAGAGAGAGAGAGAGAGAGAAAGATAGTGAGAGGATATTTGGAATTTTTGCTGATATTGTTGTTGAAGGAAGAAGTAAGTCAGAGTTCATTCATTTTGTTTTTCCTCGTCCTTCCTCTGATGAGGAGCTCACTGTCCGTCCCTAACTGCAGCTATTACCAAAATGAAGCCGACTTCAGCAGCAGAGATTAGCACCTAAACCTTATGAGGTGTTAAACTTATTGACTATTTATTATAAATAATAATAAAGACCCCCAGGTGTTGTTTATTGATCAACTGAGCGCTGCCCTGCAGGTTGAGCCACGTTCAGCTCGACTGTTGTCTGACCCTCATTATAATCACAACTCCAAAAATACCCTTTCATCCCGTAGATACAGTACCTGCAAAATGTCCCCACGGGGACAAAGTGTCCCCACAGCAATAGTAATTTTCCAAAAATAAATGTCTCCACTATAAAACTGAGGCTAATAAGCATCACCCCGTCCCCCCGTCCATCGTCCCTCGTCCCCGTCCCCGTACAGTATCAGCTGTAAATGCCTCTACCTCAGGTCAAACCACAGGCACTATTTTAATTATGTGACAGCAGTGGCTCATGATGACACTGTCAATTCCGGAGAGACATAAAAATACATTTGGTCCTTGCAAATATTTATAGTGTGTGTTTACAAAAATATAGAAACAGTAATATTTTTATCTTGAGACAGATTTACCACGTTAAACTGGGCTGAGACACACACACACACCTGTGTACTGTAGTCAACGGAGCATCATTGCATGAGCTTAAAAGAGAAACTAAAGTAAATGACTGTTGTGGTTGTTAGTGGTTTCTAAGCATGAGCAGATTTTACAGAAGTCACTGTCCAATAGAAATCGTGTTTTTGCTGGACTTGGATGGAGTGGACTGTTCAAACGACCCTCCTGTGACCATGATAATTGCAGTAGTGGCCTGTGGCCAGCAGGAGTCTGTGGCCCTGCTCTGTTTAGTGGTGAGATTATACTGTAGGCTTATGTAATTCTGTCGGAGCATACTGAGTGCAAAGGCAGATTATTACATGTCCAGAGTAAATATTTTTCCTGGCCTTATTGTATGTGTTTAATCAAAGCGTCTCCACCTGATCCTGTGGAGATAGAAGACGGCTCCACTGCAGCGTTTATCTCATTAAATCATCTGCAGCAGTCGCTCTCTTTATAACGTCTTCTGTTATTGATGTCTCCTTATCTTTGGCGTGTCTGTTTTCTCAGGCGAGAACCAGGCGTTGAAGTTTACCCTGGTCAGAACCATGAGCGATAAGATCATGGTAAAGTGGCAATCCTTCTGGCCCAAAGACTTCAGAGATCTGCTGGGATTCATGGTGCTCTACAAAGAGGCGTGAGTACTTTTCTCTCTCTCTCTTGTCATTTCTCCTCTGCCAGAAGAAATATGGGTTTCAGCTGTTAAAGCACATTATGGATGATATGATACTGAGTATCTGTGAGATACTGTCGTACGGAGTTGTTACTTGGTGTTATGTACTGTGTAGTGACTGTCGTGATTCTTTCTCCGACTCTTTGTGTGTGAACTTCTGAAAAGATTGTCGTTTTAAGTTGTTACTAATGGGGAAAACAGTTTTTAAATTTAGAGCACTACTAATGGGGAAAACAGTTTTTAAATTCAAAAGTCAAAGTCAAAGTCATAAAGTCAAAAAGTTCTGGTCCGAACCTAAGACATTTAAGGATACATACTCGACTTTAACCCAGTGTGTATTTATTTTGTATTTTTGTGGCCATTAAATTATTCAGACAGAAAACAAATAAATAAATAATAATTACTATTATTTGATTGGACTTGGTTAAAGATGGAGTAGGTAAATATTGCAACAGCATCAGGTTCTGTCTGGCCTTGTTTTTTTGTTTTTTTTTTCCTTTCTTGGACTGACCAGTTCAATAACACACTGATGAATTGCCCAAAAGCCTCAGACTGAAATTCAATATCCTCTCTCTGCTGAAATACAATTAGGGTCTGCATATCACAGACTTTTCATTTGGTTACTGTTGTGACGTTTTCTCTTACAGACCTGTTCAGAACGTAACTGAGTTTGATGGGCAAGACGCCTGTGGCTCCAACAGCTGGGTGATCGCAGACGTGGACCCTCCACCTCGAGTCGGGGACGGGGAAAAGGAGCAGACCGAACCGGGTTATCTGATCCTGCCGCTGAAGCCCTGGACACAGTACGCCATCATGGTAAAAACCCAGTTGTCTGCGTCAGATGAGCACGAAGTTCTGGGAGCCAAGAGTGAGATCATCTACGTCCGCACAGATGCCACCAGTAAGATGGCTTTTTATTTACGTTTACTTTTAACGAGACACAGTTCAACCAGGTTTAAGTTTGAAAATACCTTTTGTTCTTTATTGAGTCTGTGCTGTAGCAGGAACAGGTTTGAACACCGTCAGCATTTATTTAGATCCATATAGTTTATTTGCCCCCGAAAGGTCAATTGATTTGAAGTCATGAAGCTCTTCTATTAGACTAAAGATCACAATTACACTAATTTCTTGAAATAACAACTTTTCAACACGTTTTTCTGTTACTGCTTCTTTCTTCGTTTCCGCAGTGAAAAATCTCCTGTGAATAATTCCATCTTTTTCTGTTAGAGTTCATTTGACTCATTTTAAATCCTCTGGTCTTAACTATCATTACGTGGTGTGTGTGTGTGTGTGTGTGAAATGTCTGCTGCCAAAATGTCCTTGGCACAGGAACAATCAGGAGACAAACACACTGAGTGATCTGCTTGGGTTAGCACTAATCCACAGGGCGCCCCCTCATGTACAGTAAGGTGTCTACAGCAGGCTGAACTGCAGCCGTACCTGAAATAACTTTTTCTGCCCCAGAATGTCAGTGCACGCTGCCTCACACCAAGTGTGTCATGTCAGCTCGGGTCTGGTTGTGTCATTTACACAGTGATAAACAACAGTAAAATGTTCATTAACAGACAACATGAAAGCTGACGACACTAACTGCAGGCAGAGACACATCTCTCTGCTCCTGCTCCGTGTTGGCTGGCCGTGTCACGTGGGCGAAGCTGCCATTACAGAGAAGTCAACACGGGTGACATCCAGCCTGTCAATGCTGTTCAACCAGTTTGTGGCATCGACATGAAAACTGACACAACATATTTACACTCAACGAAACTTGAGTCACGTTGTGATTCAGGTCTCCGGCCCACGCACGTTCCTCCCTCCTCACATTGATTATCCCACTCATACTCAAAGGTCAGCATTAAACCTTTTAACGCAGTGATGCTGCTTGAACTGAGGTTTGAGAGTTAGAGATTCTCCTGAGGTGGAAACATCTCAGGTCCAGACGGTTTAACATTTGGATATATATTCAAACACTCAAAATCATAAACCAGGGAGTTTACTATACGGTGTTTGATACAACATCAAAGTCTCCTTTTATACAAGTACTACATTCCCATATCTTCTGCATACTATTGGCTAGTGTGCTCCTCAAAGATATTTTTAAATATCGACGCCCATCCTGCTTTACTTCACTTTTTCTCCTCCTTCCTCAACAACTTGTTTTCTCTTCCTGTGATGTCACCACAGAACCTTCAGTCCCACTGGAACCCAGTTCCTCGTCCAACTCTTCCTCCCAGATTATCCTGAAGTGGAAACCTCCCAATGACCCCAACGGCAACATCACTCACTACCTGGTCTTCTGCCAGCGTCAGCCTGAAGCCATTGAGCTCTACAAGTACGACTACTGTCAGAAGGGTGAGCCACGGTGTTTGTACTGTCCATATGTCAGCACCTGGTTTTGGTGTTGTTTTTTTTTTTTTTTTTGTGGTTTCTGGCTTTGTCTGTCAGTGACAGAGCAATAGAATCTGTCTCCAGATTTCCATTAGTAAAAGAGCTTATCTCACGCAGAAACTATTTACTACTTCAGGTTTCTCCAGTTTGATCACGGGACGTCTGGCTTCAGTCTGGCTTCAGTCAGTCTGACCTAAGAATTAATCTATTGCATCACCAGGAAAACAGGTCCTGATGTTACACTTTTAAATGATTAAAACGTGTATTCATTGCTCACATGAAAAAAAAAGGATACAAATGACAGCTTTTAAAGTAAAATTTTAGCCACAGTATTAAAGTCAGAGCTCAGCTTTAAGCTGAAGTGCGTTCAGGAATTCAAAAGTTCTGACTATATAGTTCCTGGAACAAGTGTCTGCTTCTTTACGAGGAGCACAAATGATACAATTCACTTTGGGTTTAAAAGGACCCAAAGGACCAGGTGTCACGGCTGCACAGACACAGATAACAAGCCCACACGTCCGTCTGTCTGTCTGTCTGTCTGTCATGTCTGTAACTCCCACTCAGCAGGGAGGTGGTGTCTCCCCAAATCTATCTCCACTTAAGAGGGTGAGGAGAAGGTGAGCAGTGATGACGACGGTCAGACGGCTCTTCACCTAATGTTCTAATTTCTAATTGCCCCATCAGGGATGAAGTTGCCCACCCGGGCGCCCACTCAGGTGGACAATGATGAGGAGCAGAAGTGGAACCAAACAGAGGAGCAGGGACAGGGCACACGGTGCTGCGCTTGCCCCAAAACTGACAAGGAGCTCAACAAGGAGAAGGAGGACTTATTGTATCGCAAAACCTTTGAGAATTACCTTCACAACGAAGTTTTTGAACTCAAGTAAGACAAATGGGGAAAGAAGACGGAGTTTTAAAGAATGATAAATCATTTTTTCCCACTTAGTACTGTATATTTATTGTTTATTGTTTATAGTTTCTAGTTGTTTTTTACTTCCATTTCTGTCTCATCAGCTAAAATAAATCCAATCCTGCTCTTTCTACAGACACACTAGACAGCGACGTGCTGTGGTGGGGATCGCCAACGGAACACTGCTTGTCCAAACCACGGCCTCCAGTCCACCAGAGGGCACACACGTCCCAGACGAGGAGGGCGAGGAAACCTTTGAGAGCACCAAGTCGGTGGTCACTGTCCTCGCCAAGGAGTCAACGGTCATCTCCAACCTGCGCCACTTCACCAGCTACCAGATCGAGATCCACGCCTGCAATCACCCGACTGACCCGGCCCGCTGCAGCATGGCAGCTTATGTCAGCGCCCGCACCCTGCCCGAAGGTACAGATGGATGTTTGTTTTACTCCTACTCTTAGACCAACTGTTAAATGAGCATTAGAGTTGGCAGGAGAGAAATATGTATGATCAACTAACATCAATTAGGGTGAGAAAACAAGGCTGCCACCTGCTGGAAGGGTGTGTAATTGACATTGTATATACACACATTTCCTGTTGTATCCGTTGTTTATTTTAGACAAAGGCAAAGTGGGAGTAAATATATAATCCAATTAACCCTTTGACTTTTCCCCCCTCTAGACAAAGCTGATGACATTTTGAGTCCAATCAAGTACGAGGTGACGGAAAATACAGTTCACATCACATGGCAGGAACCAGAAGCTCCAAACGGCATGATCATCCTGTACGAGGTCAACTACAAGAGGCTCGGAGACACAGAGGTGAACAGAAACAGACCAGTTGTGCTTTTATTCCTCTGTAACGACGTACGTCTAAGTTCAAGAGTTTACAGGGAGTTCAACCGACTCATAAAGTCCTTCCTTATACTCTAAAGCACTTCTCATATTTTTCTCTCCATTGAACCAATAGCTGGAGCTGATAATGAGAGCCCATAAAGGGTATTAAAGGGTAACATTGTATGGCCCAGTGATGCAGCAGCCGCCGCACAGACAACTAAAAAGGGTCGATGTTATTACCTGACTTGTATTTTTAATGTGGCCTTTTGACCTGAGTCGTGTTTTTTGTTACATCTAAATGGAGATGTAATTTTATCACTGCTCTGTGTTTCAGTCGCTATGACAACTCCTCTACCAAACAGACTGTTATTTGGTGTAGGAAAACAATAAAAAGCAGATGTTTCACTATTGGAAACAAACTGTTTTAACCTGCAGAACAAAAAGAAATCCAAATGTTATTTTAAACATTTAATTTATGACAGACGTCACTGAGCAGCTGTTGGTCATAAGATGGCGCTGCTCTCTCTTGTCTGAATCTTTCACCCCCCCTCTGTGCAGGAGCTGCACTACTGCGTGTCGCGGAACATGTTCAAAGAAAAAAGAGGCTGCAAACTGAAAGTGATGCATTCTGGGAACTACACAGTACGGATCCGAGCCACGTCACTGGCTGGAAACGGATCCTGGACCGAGCCCACATACTTTTATGTCCAAGACACAAGTAAGATTTGTCTTCAGTTTGAAGAAAGAGAAACATTCAGTGTCTTGTTCACGTCATAAAATGATTAGAAAGTTGGAGAAGATCAGAACACGTATTAAGTTGTAAAACTGACTTTTCTTTGTTTCTTCTCTCTCTAAGTAAAGAAGTAGGTCAGACACTGGTGTTTGTTGACTCTAAAATAAACTCTGACCTTATTTTGTGTTTGGCAGCAAAGCAGTTGTGGAGTAAATGCAATGCTTGTAGTCTTCAAATTTGAATTTCTTTACTGGAAATATCTGCATTACCTCTGTGAAATGTTATGCTAAGTGTTCAAAGCAGAAGAGGTTGTTGCTGCTAACAGGAGTAACATTAGCATTTTATTATTTTGGTGCCATAACACAAAGAGCTGACACAGTTACTTCATACTTTTGTTAAAAAAAACTGAATAAATCAGTGTGTTTAGATTCATACAGACAACTGCTGATTCAATATTAATTAATATATTTGGAATATTATACATATTCATTGATTTAATGCTATGGGAAGACAGAATAGAACCATAGTAAAGGGCGGTGCATTAGCAGGACCAACATAAAGAAAGAAATATTTAATAGTTGTTTTTTTTTAACGTATAATGACAGAGCGACACAGACAGATAATGTTCTGGAGGAGCGTATTGATTCTAGCTAAGGTTTAACACCTGTGTTTCATAAGTCTCTGCTCTGCTCGAACTGAAGTCTGACTCACTGTGTGACTGGATTTGGTTTTATGGTTTTTCAAAGGCGACCCTCTCTACATTGTGAAGATTGTGATTGCTCCGATCATCTGTTTTGTCCTGCTGCTGTTAGTGGCTGCAGTAGGATTCTTCATGTTCAGGAAGAGGTACAAAAAAACATTTTTTCTTCAGGTTTCTTTGAAGTTCTCCATATTTCATAAGTGCCTTGCCTTTTTTCCTTGTAGTCAAACTCAGGGGCCAAGTGGTCCCATCTACACGTCTTCAAACCCAGAATATCACAGCGCTTTTGACAGTGAGTACAGATGAAGATTTAAACACATGTTGTTGTTTTGATTGTATTGTCAATAATAACCAACTGATAAATGAGTAAACGTTCTAAGGACTTGTTTGTGACCTGATTTCCTGGACATGTGTATTTCAGTGTACGAAGAGGACGAATGGGAAGTTGCCAGAGATAAGATCGCCATCTTGAGAGAACTTGGTCAGGGTTCATTCGGTATGGTGTACGAGGGTATCGCCAAGGACATCATAAAGGGCGAGGGAGAGACCCACGTAGCAGTGAAGACTGTGAACGAGTCGGCCAGCCTGAGGGAGAGGATCGAGTTCCTGAATGAGGCCTCGGTCATGAAGGGCTTCAGCTGCCATCATGTGGTGAGGAGAGACCGCGTTTCTTAGCAGGAGGAATGTCCTCCCTCCCTGGTGAAGTGTTCTAGGTTGTACCAGAGGACCGCTGCAGCTCCTCCATTAAGGCGTTATAAGATAAATGAATGAATAATGACAGTGTGTCTGAATGGATGGACTAACAACACATCTGCTCAGGTTCAAGGGCTAGTGGTAGAATGGGGTATAGCAGGGGAAAAGTGCCTGAACTGTCATTGAAGGTCACAGGAAGACGTGTGTCGTCATATGCAAACGACACCTTTCCATGTTCCGTGATGGCGTGCGCCCTTGACACTGCAGTGAAGAACCACCGGTGTTTGTTTCAGGTGCGTCTGCTGGGCGTTGTGTCTAAAGGTCAGCCCACGTTGGTGGTGATGGAGCTGATGACAAACGGAGACCTGAAAAGCTTCCTACGCTCCCTGAGACCTGACGCTGAGGTAAGAGACCGTGAAGGACACGTTGTACTGTGGTGGTAACTGTTTTCATCTCTCTGATCTCTGGGCTGCATCTGCAGGTAGTTTGGATACAAATAACTTTACTACTGTCTTTACATAAAGACGATGATAATCTCATGTTTTTATTTTTAACATGGACATCATACAGGGGACAATGTACAGTCAGATTTGGTGTGTAGCTGCATTAGTAAACGTTAAAAAAAGAAAGCAAAACATCTTTACATAATAAAGGTAACAGTTTACCCCCACTTTAAAAAAAACCCCAGTAAAAACAGAGTGTGGAGGAAACAGAAACGCTGGATGTGCATTTGGTTTCTAAGGATAACTAAAGTTAGGGCTGACATTTTAAAGACTGTTCAAACATGGCGTCTGTCCACGACCAAACTGGTTATACTGGCACAGTGGTTGGTGGTTTGACCTTACAGCTAGGTCTGCGTGTGTGTGTGTGCGTGTGTGGTTTTCTTCAGGTTTATAGTTCACTCTGAACTGACCACAGTTGTGACGTCAGGTGTGAATGGTTTGTTTGTTTGTTTTTTTATGTGCCCCTGTTTTGGGTGGGGTCCAGGTTGAACCACACCTGGGCCACAGCCCCACCCATGACCCTGAAAAGGATTACGCAGCCAAAACATGAACAAACAGATGTATCAAACCAACAATCAGAGCAGAGAGTAACATGGGAAAAAAAGTCAGTAGACTTCAACTATTTGTATTTATAAATATTTATGAAGAGAACCAGAAGTCAGTTATTTTGGTTATAAAAGGTTGGACATATTTACCTTCATCAAATCAGTACAATCGACTTGATGGTCACTTAAAATGATTTATTGTAAATGTTGTGCCCTGCAGCGTTGAATTCATTCTAATAAATTGGTTGTTAATTTGTGTGTGGTTTCTCCTCCTGGCCCCTCACCCTCAGAACAACCCTGGACGTCCACCACCGACTCTGAAGGAGATGATCCAAATGGCTGCTGAGATCGCAGATGGCATGGCTTACCTCAACGCCAAGAAGTTCGTCCACAGGGACCTGGCAGCCAGGAACTGCATGGTAGCCCACGATCTCACCGTCAAAATAGGAGGTACAGTACGTGGTTGTTGTTGTTTTTTACTGGGCTCAACCAGAGACTCTGGTTGATTTGGTTAAAGCCACAGTCTGGTAAATGAAGACTTGGAGCCCTCCAGTGGTCATGTTAACACTTAGACTGTGGTACTGGCAGCCGACCAAACACACTGCTGCTGCTGCTTGTGCTGCCGTGACCGCAGAATGGATGTAAAGTTTTCTACCATGGAGGAGCAGTTGTAAAAAGGATGAGGCGAAGATTTTATAGATACAGACTGTGTCTCCAGGAGAACACACACACACACACACACACGTGTGTTTCAGTTATGTCAGAATGCTTTCATAATAACAACACATGATTGAATAATAAGGTGGATTTATGTCCAAGTGAAGCTGCCGTAATGTATCCAAGGAGTCGGGGTGAGTCAGTGGACGTAGCCTGGAAACCATCCAGACGGCCTGTGGTTCAAACCTGTCTCCTGTCGGCTGGTCCACGGAGCAGAGCCGAGCGTGTAATTGACCTGACACTGAGTGGATCACACATCTGTGGGTCATCTGTGCAAAATCCAAGATCAAGCTGTCTGTGGGTTTTAAAAGACAACAGACACAGACCGATTTGGATGTCATGTGTTAGCAGCAGTTACGGCTCAACGTGACTGAGTCGCTGTAACGGTCGTTAAAACCGATCCGGCTCCAGGCTCGCCAAGCCACATCCATAAACTAATTCATCAACGATCTATAGTTTTCTAACATATCATTCATCATGTTGGAGGTGGGAAATTAATTCATGATTTCTGTCAAAATTTAATTGATGAAAAATGTTCATTTTCTCTGGTTCTTGGGTGTCAAAATTTAATTGATGAAAAATGTTGTTCATTTTCTCTGGTTCCTGGAGTTGGAGTTTCTCCCACTGTGAGTGTACGCTGTCGGTTGAGTCGAAGCTTTTAGGACAGACGTTACGACGTTCTTTAAACGTATCCTTTGTGTTTTTCTTGCAGACTTCGGGATGACAAGAGACATCTATGAGACCGACTACTACCGTAAAGGAGGGAAGGGCCTGCTTCCTGTCAGGTGGATGGCCCCCGAGTCTCTGAAGGACGGGGTCTTCACCGCACATTCAGACTGCTGGTCAGTGGCCGTCTGTGAAATGAAATGTTCCATCAGATTAAACTGGTCTGATCAAAACAGCCGTAACACTGATCATACAGCACTACTGGACTATTACTGCTCTTAATATGTTGATAATGTATTGGTATTCAAGGTTATACTACAGTATTCATATCATAATAATATTACTAGCTATACTGCCAGTACAGCTAGTACAGTTCTTATAATATAATACTATATTGCTTTTTGACATATTTCTGCAGTTTATACTATATTTTTGCAGCTAATATTATTATATCATTAAATACTAATATTAATATTCTTCAGATACTAGTGTACTTTATGTTGCTCCGTTGTTACAGTTAAATGTTGCAACAGACATGTCTTATTTTTTTCCTATATTTTTAATTTAATATATTTTTGTTTTTATTTATTTATTTCTTATTCTGCCGCTGTAGAGTTTGTCCTAACACTCACTTCACTGCTGTTATACATTTGACACATTCAGTAAAAGTCTTTGTAAATGTATAGAACCAAGGTCCATACGCTGCTCTGTGATCGTCAGTCAGACCAGAACAACAGACTGCAGACGTGTCGTCAGTGTTGAACTGTGGGACTGAGACGTACAAGGTTCATGGTGGATTGTTTACCAGCACTGCAGCTGCCCCTGGGCCTCACTGCTCCCTGTGTTTACAGTCTGATCTCGTCAGGTGTCAGGTGTTAATTAGCCTAACCTTATTCGCGCTGTGCCCTTGTTTTTCTCCCTGTTTGTTTGTCAGGTCATTCGGGGTCGTTCTGTGGGAGATCAGCACATTGGCCGAGCAGCCGTACCAGGGCCTGTCCAATGAGCAGGTCCTGAAGTTTGTCATGGACGGAAACTACCTGGACCGACCGGACAACTGCGCTGACCGTCTGTAAGTTCAGAAGCATCGCCAGATTTAAAAAAATAAAATAAAATTTTAAACCAGGAATTTACATTGGAGAGTTTTTGAAGCAGGTGTAGGTGCAGAAAGTAAACGATAGAGGACAGTGTTGGTTAAAGATAACTTTGCAGCAAGTTTGCAGAAATACATCTGTTATAGCCACGATATTATTTTTCCTGTTACCCTTTGGATGATTTTGCTGTATTTTGTCTGAGTATTAATGATTGTATATCTACTTTTTTATTTCTTATTTATTTGTATTTATTATGTATTATTTCAGCTATTTTTCACTTTGGCAATTTTTGAACCTTTGTGTGATTTTTCATAGATTTCTTTCACTTGTTTCTTTCTCCTGGCTTAAACAGCCAATGATATAAAACCTAACGAGCTTCTTGTATTTTTCCGCCAGACACAACCTGATGCAGATGTGTTGGCAGTACAACCCCAAGATGCGGCCCACCTTCCAGGAGATAATCGAAATGCTGCGCGAGGACCTGCATCCTTCCTTCCAGGAGGTGTCCTTCTTCTACAGCGAGGAGAACAAGCCGCCCGAGAGCGAAGACTTCGACCTGGACATGGAGAATATGGAGAGCATCCCGCTGGACCCGTCGTCCTACTCCCAGAGGGAGCAGTGTTTGGACAGGGACGAGGCCTCCTCCATGGGCCTGCGGGGGAGCTACGAGGAGCACCACATCCCCTTCACACACATGAACGGGGGAAAGACCAACGGACGAATACTGGGCCTCCCACGCTCCAGCCCCTCCTAACACACTATCACACATCCCACGCCAAACACATCAGTGCTATAGATTAAAAATATATTTTTTTGTCCTTTAGTTTGTCATTTTGTATAGCTCGCAATTTTACGACACTCTCTCCAACAACCGCACAGCTCATATCTCAGGATTTTATTTTTTCTCCACAGATGCCACTAACCCACACTACAGTTAGTCCACACACGGACGAAAGCTTTTGTATTTTGAGATGAATCGCCCACGTATTTCCTGTGTTTGTAAAGACTATATATATGTATGTATATGTGTATGTATATATGTATGTATAAATATTTATATATACATATATGTGTATGTATGTACGTTGCCAAGTTTGTGCCAGAGGATGGAATGGGAGAATTTTGGATTCAACTGTGAAACAAACTCTTGACAAACAAGAAGGCTGCTAACCCTACTAGTCCTTCCTCCAAGTCCAGACTGTGACCTCCTCCTCCTTCCTTTCTTATTCAAACTCGAGGGTTCAACCCCAGGTTTCTAGCTCTTGGGAAAAAAAAGTGTCCTTCTATTTTTGTCCGTTGCCTACATCCATGTTTTTTGGAACATTACGTGAACCTTTTTACACGAGTGGATGACAAACTGAAAAATGAAAGACTTGTTGTGTTGGACGCTCAAAGACAGTCCACTGTTGAACAAACTATTATCCACTGGAGAAGCTGGTTGAAGTGGCTTAACTCCTCACACCCTGCAGTATTCCTAATGGCTCGCAGGATAAATAAAACCCAAGACTTTTTTTCATTATTGTTTTCCATCTTTATTCTCCACTCTTCTTTTCTCTTTGAGTTTTCACATTTACAGCTGAAGGATATTTAAGTTGTTTTCACAAACATGTTGGCAAACAAGTTCCTCAGATTGACCAATAGCTGCTTCTTTGGTATATTTTAGTGGGTGTAGAAGATAAATATATAAAAATATATCTATGTAAAGTGTTATTGATGTTTTTGTACATAGGTGAGATGTTCACTCAAGAGGTATTTCCGTTGATAGAAAATTATTTTACATGTTGGTCTGCAATTTTCTTTTTCTAATCCAAAAAAAGTTACTAATGAGCTTCTTGGACTCATGATCAACCAACAGCACTTGGTCTTTTTTTTTTTTACAACAGGATGCAAGAGAAGTTGCGGTTTTGGCTTCTTCATTTTAAGATGTTTGCTCCTTATATGCAGATCAAATAAAATAGTGCTGTAAATACTGCAGCAATGTGCATTCATGGAACGTCTGGCAGTGGTTCTGTTATTGTTTACATCAGATATCACACCACATTTTTTACCCCATCATGATGCAGCGAGAATCTAAGAACAAGCCTTTGTTATTGGAATTAACGTTTAGATAAAGAGATTAAATTCATCTGGTGTAAAAACAAAATACAGCAGAGACTGGGGTTATGTTCGTTCAGCCGATACTGGAGGCGCAAAAAATTGGAGAAATGTATTTTCTCATATGATGAAAAATGTGATGTGAGCTTGAAATTCATTAAAAAATAATAGATATAAATAATTTAAAAACTAATTAGCGAACTATTGACCTGAAGTCTAAGAAAATAATTTCAACTTTTTGTTTTCAGAGAGCTACTTTTACAAAAACAAAAATGGCTGAAAGCTACACATGTTGTGTAACATTTACTTTCAGAGCTCAGTACAAACAAACTTAATAGCTTTTATTTGTCTAAACATTTACAATATATTAATGTCCACATATCACATTTTTATTAAAACATCACCAAAATATTATTAGTAGTACTACTACTTTATTTACTGCAGACTGTCGCCGTCTAGTGGACACAGGTAGCACAACCGACTGCACTCTACAAGTGTTTTGTTTTTTGTTTTTTTGTGGTGATTTTTCTCCTCCTCCTTCTCGTCCTCCTCCTCCTCCCTGCTCCAATTCATCCACTGCTGCACTTGTTCGACCTGAGGCTCCACCGCCTGTGTCCTCGTCTGTGAAAGAAGCGTCTGTGTCAGGACTTTAGTCATATTTTAAAGAGTCTAATGTTCCACCAAGTCTTTATTTCAACGCCAGGTAAGTGTGGATGCGGCGGACGTTAAGACAACACATCATTTCAGAAAAAGAAAGAAAAAACAAAAACAAAACACGAGATCGCGACAGTAAAGTGACTGTTTTGTAACTTGGTCCCTCGTAAACTCGACATGTTCTGGGCAGAAGTTTTTGTTCGTCCAAGTTTTTCCTTGTGTTCGTAAACTCGACATGTTCTGGGCAGAAGTTTTAGTTCGTCCAAGTTTTTCCTTGTGTTTTACTTGTGAGAGGACGTGTTACTCGTTAATTCGTGTCGTCAGTTTACTCATAAGCGTATCCGTCTGTCAGTTTCACACAGTTGCTGTTAGCTTAAAGGCTAACAGCACCTGCACCTGTCGCTTCCATTCCCACTACTTTATTTTTATTTATTTTTTAACTTCCTCTTCATTTTCTTGTCTTTTCCTTCCAACCACGGGATGTTCAGCTGTTACTCTTTTTCCTCTCCAGTTCCCATTCCTTTTCCACTCCCATTCCTTCCCACTCCGGGTTACCATTTTGTTGACTTTCTTTTCCAGTCCTTTTCCTTCCTACGCTGCTTTTTAGATTGGTTGCTAAAAAATGTGCAGAAATTACTGTGGATAAGATAAAGATAAATGACACAGTTTTGCATACTGTATTTCAGGTATGAAGAGAATATTAAGAGAATTTATTTTGCAAAAATTGGTTCTGAAACGTAAGATTTATATTTCTTTAATTCCTGTAAATCCTGGTGGTATCCATGCACACTGTGTGTATTTATTTAAAAGCAAACTTTAATCTTTTTTTTTTTTTAAAAAGCAAGGTGGCAAATGGTACAAATAACATAACAAGCAACAAGACCACCTCACATCCATCATAATAATATTTAACTAATATATTTAAAAAAGACAGATATCAATGAAAAAAAGTCACACGTTGAATTTAAGAAAAATATATTACATTATTAAAAGTATATAACAGTCATGGGGTCACACAGTGGAAGAGTGGTTACTGCCACTGCCTTACATTAAGAAGATCTCCAGTTTGATACCCCTGATGTTCTTCATTTTATGTGGCCCTCCAGGGTTTATTATTATGGTTGTCTTAAAATAAATGTTAATCTTGTATTTAAGACGCGTTAACCGCGTGTGACACCCGTTATAGTGTATAGGGTTTAAATGTTATCTCTGTGTAGTACTAGTACTGTCCAGTTAACCTCCCACAGTCCAAAAACATACAGGATTCGTTTAATAGTTAACTCTAACATCTCGTCAGGTGTGAACGTGAGGGTGTGAGAGTGTTTTTGTCTCTGTGTGTGGCCCTGTGATGGACAGGTCAGGGTTCTGTGCCTTGGGTGGACAAACTGCTAGTGTCAACACAATCTTTAAGTTTCTTCGAAGCTTCATTCTAAGCATATATGGCCAGGCTGTGGAATGACCAACGTGGAGGAGGCCTAACCTGCACCTGTAGAATTCAGCTCCTCATTTGGACAGAAACACACTCGCATGTGTTTACAGCTCTAAAGATAAACAACACTGCAGCTATCGCTAGGTTAATGAGTAACTAGTCAGGGCAGCAGTGGGCGACAACAGTGAAGAAAGTGTAAGTTGAACCTGCCGGGGTAGGTAGAGAGTTTGCCCCTCATAAATAACAATTGTTCAGTTATACCTGTGTGATGACGTCACACTCTGACAGACTGTCTCCAGGGTGTAGCAGGAACTGGCAACACTCGCATCACCTCGTCTTTGTGCTTTTGTACGTTTCTCATACGGATGGATAATGTTTCAGTGTTTGTAAACCAGGGATGAAGAACACCAGACGCTGTGACTTTTGTCATCATGATTCAGGCCGCAGCTTCATTTTGGTTCAGAGGGTTTTTGTTCACCGCTGTCAAAACTCTTAGAGCCCACGACTTCTTTTTATGACAAGAGCTTAAAGCGGTGTTTTAACCTGTGTGTCTGTGTGTGTGTGTGTGTGAGTGTGTGTGAGTCAGCTGCAGGATACTTGGCAGACTTGCTGGTCTTGTTTTGTCTCTGGAGAAAATTACCCGTATTTCATGACGCTGCTGCCGTTGTTGCTTTTACCTTTCCAGCAAGTGAGAATCTTTTAAGGTGTGGCTGCCGCTCACGCCACGGTGACCCAAACAACTGCATTGTGGCTGAATTACCATCAAGCTAAGAAACGAGTCTTTAAAGATAGAAATGTGACACGAAGGTATGGTAAAGTCATAGGTTTTATATTTCTTTTCTTCCTTTGAAAGCCCTGCTTTAACATTTATTATTTAAGTTAACATTTATTATTCTATTATTATTTTTATATTTTTATTTTATTAGCTCCTTAGGCTAATTTTCTTTATTTTGACCGTTTCATCTTTGAAAAAGTTCTTTTCTGCATATTTGTATTTTTGCCCCGATATTTTATTGTGTGGTCCAGACCGACAGGTCTTATTGTGCTGCGGACTCATTGTGCTTCAAACAGCTGAGCCACAGCCTTATAGAAAAGCTACCGTGGGAATTGGTCTCACAACCCCTGTAGTCAAACTGTAATGTGTGCTTTAGGTGTGTCTGACTTCAAACACCCTATGGCTTTTTTTTTTCCCTTAAAACTAATTCTAATCTCTCATGCGAACACACAGTATGTGCTGTTGGGACCACTCCTCAGAACTCAGCTCTCTATCACAGTCACACACGGTTTATTGTCAGGTGTGTTTATACCAGATCTGTTGTTCTCCTCTCTGATTTGCTGAAGACTGAACTAGCAGCAGCCTGAGTGGCTGATTAACATGAGCACACAGAAACACAGTGTGGAAGATCAGTGTTTGTCACTTTGCTGAAACTGGAACACACTCTGATCTCTATTGGATTTGGCCACAAATGTGATCAGACAGGAAAATGAGTGAGTGTCTACACAGCAGCGGTTGTTCTCTGTAGTTTCCCTAGCGCCTCAGTTCTGTTGCTGTTAGACTGTTGAAAAACCCTGACTAAAAGGAAGCAAATCACACACTGTTCTTTAATCTCTCTCACAAATTCATTTTGTTTTTTCTTCAGTGCTGTGTAAATCGTCCCTGTCCTGGCAGTAAATGGCCAGCCTCCCGCCTTCATCTGACCAGGCATGACCGTCACCCCCAAAAAGTCCAGTCCTCATCCTTCTTCCTCTTCATGTGACATAAGTTCCAGGTTAGTATTTACATGTTTGTTTGTTCAACTCCCACTGACTCACACGACTGACATACGAATCAAGTCCAGTGTCATATGATGCAGACTGAAAACAAGTCAGATGTGTGTTCTTAAAAACATGTCGAAGGTACTTAAACATGAAGAGATGAATGTTTATAGCATTTACAGAGGTACAGCACTTCAGGAGGTATTCACACTGAGGCTGTTTTTGCGCTAAGTCCTCCAGTGTGTGTGTGTGTACAGGTGTGTGTGTACGTGCATACGTCACATTATAATTAACCTGTTCATCCCTCCACCAACATCTAGATCTGGTGGAGCACTGATGGATGAAGTAGATGGCCTGAGATCGAAGATTTCCTCGGAGGACTCTCTGCCCGTGTCGTCCACCTTGGCTGAGCCCATCAACCTAGAAGGTCAGCAGGTCACTGTCAGCAGGGATGAAACACTGATGTGTGATGCAGTGAATATTTCCTGGTGTTTCATGATCTTGTCTGTGTATTCATCAGATCCTCACTATGCTCGTCTGCGAGGGGAGCTGGAGTTCGATGCCCATAACCTGGAGGCAGAGTCCTGGAGTGTGGCTGTGGATCAGAGCTACCTGAAGGCCCTGAACAAAGAGGCTATAAAAAGACAGGACGTCATTTATGGTACGCTGAAACTGACTATAACGTCTTCTGTCCACTGGACTGAACAAGTGTAGAAGACACTACTCTAACTGCTTTGTTTATGACATGATTCTCAGTCTGATTCCATGTAGGGTTCACCTCAAGTGAGAATATTTGAGATGAGTCTTTAGATGAACTGTGAGCCAGTGTTTTTCTGCTGTAATCACTGTGTCACATCTGATCTTTTATCGGTGTATTTTAACTTCCTACACACAGTTCTCCTTTTTAGTCCAGTGGAACAAACAGTTACCATAAACTGTACAAAGAAAGTCGCCCACTGACACGAGACCTTCACTTACTGCAGCTAAAACATATTTTTCTCATGTCAGTCATCCAGAACGGGAGGTGAACGTGTAAACATTAACTACAGTCGACGAAGCCGAAGTAGGAATATTTAAATAGGTGTTATTACAGAGAGTGTCTTATTAAGACGATGATTGATGCTCCCTCAGGCTCTGCACTTCTTTTGATTTAAACCCATTACATAATGACATCAGCATTTTGTATTGTCCAACAATAGTAGAGCACCGGAAGACTTTACCCTGTCTTTACTGGTTTTCCCCTTTGAGGTCTGGAACCCAATAATTAATTTTTCCACTTTTTGGCATGATCCTTTTTTTTTTAATTCCATGCTATAATCATGACAAGAAGTGTCATTATCACGCAGCCACAGTCAGGCTCTCAAACCAAACGTCTTCTGACGTCCCCAGAGTTGATGCAGACAGAGATGCACCACGTCCGCACCCTGAAAATCCTCCTCTGCGTCTACATGCACGAGGTGAGACAGTTTCACCTCTTTGAGGAAGCCAGACTGGAGTGGCTTTTCCCCAGCGTGGAAGCCCTGCTCACCCTCCATCAGCACTTCCTCAACTGTCTGAAAGTGAGACTCAACCAGAGTCAGGAGGACGGAGGTCCAGACAGCTACCAGATCTCACAGTTAGGAGACATCCTCCTCTCTCAGGTCGGTCATCTGTGAAAGATGTTTGGTTTTATCAAGTCTAACTAAACAGGGGATTTTATTGGCATAGATTTTTTTTTAAAATAAACAATAAAAGTTCAAATTTTGTGGAGGGATTTTTTCACATATTGCAACAAACTTCTAGTATTTTGTCTCTAGCAAATTTCAGAACTGTTCAAGAACATTTGTAAAATATTTAAAGAAACAAATGTACCCACACTAATGTGTTATATTCATTAATCAAACAGTTTTGACCAACAATTATAAATATTCTGAGGTTATTAAACCTATTAGACTGTATTTATTGATAACACATTCAGTACACATTGACACAGATTTAACTTTTATATTTCCAGGACCTGAAAAGACCTTTAATTAAAGACTTTGTAATAAGACGTTTTTACACTTTTAGTTTTCAGACGCTCTGGGGGAAAAGATGATGGAGTGTTACAGTGTTTTCTGCAGCCGACACAACGAAGCCATCAGCTTCTACAAAGAGCAGATGCAGAGCAACAAAAAGCTGCAAATTCTTATGAGAGTAAGTTTCCATTTTCTTATAACTTGAAATTTAGAAAAAGTTAAAAAAAATAGTCTTTTTTTTGTTGTTGTAGTAGATGTAACAGGTTTCTTATGTCCACAGAAAGTAGGTCAACTTCCTTTAGTGCGGAGGCTGGGAATCCCTGAGTGTTTCCTCCTTGTGACTCAGCGTATCACCAAGTATCCCGTCCTGGTGGAGAGAATCATACAGAACACTGGAGGTAAAGTCAGACCAAACACCTGAAGTCTAGAATGATCCTGTTCAAGCATAGATATGGAACTGTTCCTTATTCTTCTCCTTACAGCTGAGACAGAAGATTATAAGTCCCTGGTTCAGGGTTTGGCACAGATTAAAGAAACCATCTCGCTGGTGGACGCTCAAGTCCACGAATATGAAAAAGCCGTCCGGTTGAGAGAAATCATATTCCGACTGGACCCGAAATCTCAGGGCAGGCTGAAGCATGGCCAGCTGTTCCGCAGAGAGGATTTAATGAACAGAGATACGATGCTGCTGCACGAAGGCACCGTCACCTGGAAGACCTCCGGGAAACAGAAAGGTTTGGAGCAACTGGTTGCTTCTATACACAACCTTTATTTGCGTTGTGGTCTTAACAGTTAAAGAACTTCCTGACCAATATTCAGAAAACCAGCATTTATTTTATTTAATTGTCTAAAATGAAATAAAGCAGAAAAAAAACATGACATAACATGACTCTTATTAATTTTAACATCTAAAATGAAATAAAGCAGAAAAAAAATCTTATTAATTTTAACATTTTTTTTTTCAACTGATCTTATTCCATCTTCTTTCACAGACATCCAGGCTGTGCTGTTGACAGACATGCTTCTTCTTCTACAAGAGAAGGATCAGAAGTTTGTCTTTGCTGCTGTGGTGAGTTTTTTGTGCCAGTTTTTACTCGTCATTGTCTAAACAACAGTGTTGACACCTCGTTGTTGATCCCTGCAGGACAACAAACCATCGGTCATTTCACTCCAAGGCCTGATAGTGAGGGAAGTGGCCCATGAAGACAGAGCCATGTTCCTCATCAGCGTGGGCAGCTCCACTCTGCCAGAGATGTACGAGATCCACACAGGCTCCAGAGATGAACGCATCACCTGGATGGCTTTCATACGAGAAGCTGTGGAAAGGTAAAACAAACTCCTATTGTTGTTGTTTATTAGTACAGATGATGTCATTTAATGAAGGACTGTAGTTTTTTTTAAATTAATGTTGTTGTTTTTCAGCTTTCCACATGAGGAGATGCACCGTGAACTTGTGGTGAAACTGCAGCAGTGTCAAGGTAAGACCAAACCTGTTATTGATATTGGTGGCCTCAGCAAAAGTAGGTCTTGGGGGTAAAAATCGTAATAATATCATAATGAACATCTCCTTTTGTTCCCATGTGCATAGGGAGTAGCTCAGAGTTCATGAATATCAACCAAACGTCATAGGTACTGCTGCATGTTTATAGTTTTATTTGCTGATTTTCTTTTTGTTTTGTTTTTTAGATGCATTAAAGGAGAGAGACGGGCATATCATCCAGAACCTGACGGAGAAACAGCAAATCTTTGCCATTCTTTACGAGAATGTGACAGAACAGGAAACGCCACACAAAGGACTGCTGCTCAGAGGAGAGGCTACTGACCTCCAGCAGGGGGAGACACTGCTGAAGGGTGCTATCAATGAGGGTCAGAATGGATTTTGTTGAGATTTGCTGAACATAAAATGTGAAAATTTGATTTGGAAAGAAAAGGGACTTTTTGTATCATTTTTATTTTATGTACAGTTGAAAACCTGCAAAACCTCCTCTTCTCAAGAATCAAAATCCCCAACCTCACAGTGGATGAGAGTGAGCTGCAGGGTGGGCTGCACAGGCAGAGTGTGGACCTGGAAGAGGACGACAAGGACTCCAACAAAGGTCAGTATTTTTTATGTTTAATTTTGTACAAATCTTTATATTTACTGGTCGTGTGCATGACTTTGGTGGTAAATCTGGCAGTAGAATGAGGTCGTATTCAGACCAGTATACAGTGTAAACAGGTACTGATGTGCACGAATGAATCCCCTCAGGTGGAGACGAGGAGGGTGGCAGCAGCGAGGACAGGTCAGCTCAGGAGTCGTACTACTGTGAAGGCTTGGAACAGTCTGTAAGTATAAAACAGCTGTGAAACAATCTCACTTTCCTTCCTCAAGGGTTAACGCTACCTTGACTGTGTTCCTTCAGGCTGACGATGACACGCTGTCAGAGCCGAGCTGCAGTTTGGCTTCCAGTCATGTTTCTGAGGCAGAGGTGACACAACAGACGTTTTCTCTTTAACCCTGTCGTCTGTAGAAACATTATTAACCACAAATACTCGTTTTAATTTTTAGGTTTTCGACAGTGTCATAAAGTTGTCACAGATGCTCCACAGCTTACAGGTAAACGGCCAGCTTTTTGGAAACAAATAATCTAGTCTTTTACCATGTTTTTTTTTTTTTTTTAGAATATTTCCCTTACTTAACTTCTAATTCCTAATGTCATTAATGTATTTTACTCTAACCATATCACTGACATAGTGATGACTGTTTAAGCAAAAATGTCTTCTACCAAGATTTGAAGCACTGATAAGTTTGAGTATTTTTGTTCTTTTGTTGTGCAGGCGATCATCGTCCAGCAGGACAGTCAGATTGAGCTGCAGCGCGCTTTTCAGTCCAACTGTCAGCAGCCCAGACGCCATTACAGCAACATGCTCCTTGAACAGGAGAAGCAGCGCAACTTGGAGAAGCAGAAGGAACAACTGGCCAATTTGCACAAACTGCAGGCCCAGCACAGAGAGGAGCAGCAGCGCTGGGAGAAGGAGAGGGAGCGTCAGAGGATACAGATGGAGGCTCTGGAGGAGCAGCTGCAGCAGAGAGAGGAGGACTGCAGGAAGTGGGAAGATAAACTGGGCGGCGAGAAGGGTGAGCTGGAGCAGCAGTGGGGAAGTTACCAACAAGATCTGGAGAGGCTGAGGGAGTCCACGAAGTCCGTGGAGAAGGAGCGTGACCGCCTGACTCAGGAGAAGGAGCGTTTGGAACAGTTGCAGGAGAAGTTAAAATTAAAGATCCTGCAGCTTTCAAACCCTGGACATTCGAACTACGATGATCCCTCACATGTAAGTAATGAAATATAAATGAAGAAAAGTAAGAGGAATATTTACCAGTTGTACCTGTGTGTTGAACGTGAAGGTTGTATCTCATGTTTCTCACCAGTACCAGAGTCCGTCCACTTACTCATCATTCAGGGGCAGCATCATAAATGGAGGAGGGAAACAGACTGTCACCCTGAAGCCCAGCACCTTATACTTCACCCCTACTGATCCGACAGAAATTCCTCCAAAGGTTCCACCACGCAGAGAGAGCATCAACCCTCTGCCCCTCAAAGCTGAGCTGCCCATCCATCTGATCAGCACCACCAACCAAGTGCACAAACCTCCCGTGGTACAGCAGCAGATCCCAACCAAGCTGGCCACGCTGTCCAAAGGGAAGGAGAAAGGAGCGAGGAGCAAGGGCTCTCACCAGAGGACTCACAGCGCAGGTCAGGACGGAAGGCTTGGTTTTATTATCTCAGAATGGATTTATTATATTTAAATATTAACGATGCATGTGATTCCAAAAAGACATCAGAGGCACAAAAAGGCAAAATTTGATTTTCTTTGTTAACTATATGGAAAATTTGATTTCTTTTCTGCATCCAGCGAATATTGATGTGAACCAGGTGGTGCCGATCAGAGTGATGGGGAAGGAGGGCGGCAGCATGAGAGCCAAGAGGAGCGGCAGTCCTCAGAAAGTCTATCAGTCAGGTACCGAGGGTCAGAGGGAAAACCCACAAACATGGACAAATATTTTGAAAACTAAACAGGAGGTTTTAGGGACATTAATATGTACAAAAGCAATAACTAGTATGAACGAGACTGAGACTGTTTCATTCATTTTGTCAAAAGATTGAAGTCATAATAAAAATCACCTTTCTTTACTTGGACTGTCCTGTTCTGTCTGCAGAGCCCGTCAGAGCAGCAGGAAGTAGCCACAGTGTGAGAACCACTCAGTCGTTCAGCGTCCAAAAGAAAACCAACAGTGACGCTCCTCCACCTGCACCACCTCCTTTCCCCAAAGATGTTCTGGAAAAAGACAGAGAGAAGGTCATTTTTCTGTGATCACACACACAGCTCAGACTAGAGAAAGAAAAAAAAAAACGAATGGAATTTTACCCACAACACTCAGTGTTTGTGTGTTGGTACTGCACACGCACAGGATCCAAAAATTGAAACAATGGACGATGTTTTATAAGGGTAAAAATGTATAAATTAGAGTTGTTGTACATTTGGGACAAATGTGTTTTTTTTAAAGATGTTCTTTAGCTTTTAATGCTTTAAAGCCTTTTCTTTAAAGACAATTTTATCATTTTATTTAAAATGACAGCAGGTAGTCTGGGAGCATGAAGCCCTTGTTTCTTAATGCTTTTCAGTTTAATGGATGTTGAATGCATCATGAGGTAGGAAGTGACAGACTTATTAGGTATTCGTTAAAAATATGACAGGCCAAGAAACCTGTATTGTATGTGAATGAATCAGATCCACCTGTACTGAGAGTGTACTTCATGGTCTTTGTTCTGGTGGTAAATTAAAAAAATCACTAGATGTAAAAAATGTCTATATTTTAATAGTGAAGACTGGTGTTGAACTGTGTAAATATTTTTCTTCTTCTGAATTAAATCAGCTTCATTATAAAACACTTATTGATTTTCATTAACTTTCATAATGTCTTAGTAAAAAACACTACACAGAGAACTTCAAATACAATGCTTAATTTATTATATAGTGCCTCAGCAGCAGGTTTTAAAAAATAAAAAAAAACACTTGGCAACACAACCCAAATAATAACTCATCTCAATATCTCAGTTAAAACATTCCTCTGTTCAAACAACAGGGGGCGCTCAACTACAGAAACCGACCTTTTTTTTCTTTTAAAACAGGTCTAATGAATAACGTCAGTCTTCACAGCTGTTTAAAGTCAGGTGTACGGCTGCATGTGTACTGATGCTGTGGTTTACGGTTTACATTATGACACTTTGTGTCAACATCAGTAAAACAACAATATTTGGTACAAACACTCATCACTCCCTGTTCACTAGTCATTCTTGGATGCAGCACATCATCAGTTGGTATGTGTTATGTTCAACTCCAACACCAGACAATGGTGTGGCACCAGAAATACAAAAATAAAACTTTACATATCAAAAATTAAAATACAAGCATGCAAAAAATATTTTTAAAAAAATTAAATAAAATGACCAAAACATGTTCTCAGTTGACAAATGAAGTATAGAAAATAAAATAATTCAGATCTGCTGGTTAAGTCTGAGCAGATGAGTTGGATCAGGAGGTGACGAGACAAAGATGTGACCAAAACATTTAAGGAAAAGGAAAGTGAACGACTCGTCATTGTGACACAGCACACCACCAAATGTGACCTCTGCTTTTAACCCATCACCAAAGTGAACAGTGGGCAGCTTTAAGCGCCCAGGGAGCAGTGTGTGTGGAGGGTGCCTTACTCAGAGCACCTCAGTGGTAACTTGGCAGCTGGTGGACTCAAACCTGAAGGCCCCACTGCCTCCAAACCTGGATTTTAAAGGTGAGTCTGTGCTTTAAGAGTGGAGTTTCAGATGAAAACTGTAAAGCTTTAACAGTGCAATTTTTACATCGGTGTGTGTCGTTCACAAAACAGAGGTTTGACCCCCAAGACCTACAGAGCAACAGCCTGAACGTCATCTCAACGCTGGTCCTGGCTGACGTGACCTGGATGTGTTTCTCCTTATTTCAAGTTAGTAATTCTAAGTCTTTTTAAGATAGTTATTGTAAAAAAGCAACAGTGTTGTAGCAGGACACTGAACGACTGAGCCTCTTTGGGGTTCCTCTGCACAGTTGAGGGAAAACTACAAGCTACAAGTGTTTACTATTACTCACAGGAAATGTCTAAATGATCTCCCTTCAGAAAATTCTGATCTTTAAGGACAGATGTTTACAGTAGGTCTGAACAGACTCTCTGAAATTGAACGTAATTCAACACCAGTTGACTTAAAACATGTGCTTTAAATGTTCCCACACATCTTAAGTTTCCATTTTCACTGTCAAGTTTTTTTTTTCCATGTGCATCCATCTACACCAACCAAATATCTTTTTACAAATCATTCAAAGATGGAAAGTTTGACGCTCTTTCCAGTGTAGTGCTGTAAATGAACAAGCTAGTGTCATGACTTATTAGTATTTTCAGGCAAATTATTCATTCCTTTTTTTGGGCAGAGGTGGTCTCAAGCTCAGAAAAAAACTAATTTGTTTTCCTGATAAATGACGTCATAGAAATTAGATTTTTTTTTTTTGTACAAATGTAGCTGGAGTGCTGGCGTTTTTGAAAATGAAAATACACTTTTAAAAACCCAGCTTTTTTTTTTTCTAACAATCAGCAGTTTAATGCAGATCTGGTTTGGACTTTATTTACAAGCGTGTTTAAGGTAGATGGAGCCGGCAGATCTGGTTTGGACTTTATTTACAATAAGCGTGTTTAAGGTAGATGGAGCCAAACCTATATACTGTCTGTATACATGTAGAAAAAAATGTTTAAGTTGCTCTCTATAAAGTCACTGTTTGCACTCACAAACCCTGATCCAAAACATGAACAGATAAATACAATTTGTGATGAATGAGACGTACAAACACGACACAGCTGTGACGTAGAATACTAAACAAAACTGGACAGTTGTGTAAATGAACGTCCACCCTTGTGTCACAGACTGTATCGTGTGCCTGTTTAGGTGCTGGAGCTGCTCTGCAGGATTCAGTATCCAGATCTAGTCTGCCGTACCTTTACATCAAGTGCAAAAAAAATAATGTCCTTACTTGAGATGCGTAAGGACTGAGACAAAATGTAGATTAAAAAAAAAAAAAAGAAAACGTCCCCTCAGTCAGATTTGTCCTGGTTTCTATCAGGTGGAGGTGTTTCCAGAGGTGGATCCTCAGGCTGCGCTTCACTCTCAGTGCTGGGTTTCATCTCTGGCTCCACCTTAGTGGAGGGGCCGTCTGTCTGTGGTGCTGGAACTTGTGTGCAGTTGATGGGTGTGAGCGCTATGGCAAGCTGCAGGAGACCAAGAGAAAAATGAGATGAGATGACTTGAATAATTCTTATTTGAAATCAATCACAAATACAGAATATTTGGTTTAATAAAATACAAAAAGGTTTTACAGAATTCCCTCTGTCCACAACATAGGCCAAGTAAATTATTCCCAACCACAAGAGGGCAGCCCAGATGAATAAAAAAATGTAAATTGAATGAAGGTTGTGCCACATGGTGGGAGAAGTGGAGCCATCCAGGATCAAACCTGTGACTGTCTTTTTCTCTGTAAGGCAAGAGCACTAACCAATTCTTCCACTTGGCCTGGCTGGTAAATATATAAATGTATATATATATATATACAGGCTGTATACAGTATATACAGCCATCTTTTGCCACTACAAATCTGTCACAAGGTTTTGTCAACCTGAAACCTAAGCATAGGTTTCATAGGCATCTATACATGGGCATCGAATCCCTGCCCTCTGGTTTAAAAAAAACAAACAATTGGAACCTGGTTCCAGACAACTTTAGTTTGACTTTGATTCAGTAAAACCTTTTAGAGAAATGAAATGAGCCTTATTGTTGTCAGAGGTATTCCTGGAGGCAGACGGAACGATCACAGACCCTCATTTTCATACCCCAGTGAAAAAACAATAGGAAGCGTGAAGGCCCATCAGGAGAGACGGGAACCCTATGTTGGCCATATACTGTTTCAGACAGAACAAAGCACCTGGCACGACTAGTGACTGCAGTTCCAGCAGGTTAATAACAGTCGTGTCCTCAGGACAAACAGAAGTGACAAGCAGTTTAATGGTTAAAGAACAGAGAGCAGCCCAGAGACAGAGCACCTGCAGTGACGTCCGTCTGCAGCAGACCGTCACACAGCCACAGTAAAAGCAGGGAGGCGGTAAAACAGAAAGAGCCGTTTAAAGAGAACTGAATTATTTTAGGTTTACTCAACTTTAAATTCACTTTACTCTCAATCTTATCAAACACTAGATTTGTTGTTTCTTTTCTCATTTGTTTTCTTTTGTCGTCTTTTTAAAGTCTTTGTGTCCTTCCGCAGTAGGCAGTCATATCAAACTGGTATTCACCACAAATCCACTCCCAGTCCAGAACTGGGGCAGCTCCCTGCGCCACAGCGCCACACTAAGGCTGGTGAGCAGAGTGCACGGCACTAGGTAGAGCAAGGCAGGTTGACCCATCTGCATCACAGCCAGGGCCACAAAGGTGATCAGCAGGCCGATGCCATAAGCTGCAGGACAAAAAAAAAATTCCCAAATTACCTGGTGTCAAAAAAAAAAAAAAAGAAATTCCCAAATTAACTGGTGTCCAGGCAGAAATCATTAGAATTAATAAATCATTAGATTTTTATTAATTCTAACATGTATTAAAACCTTATTAGATGTTTCTAACTCTATGCACACAAACTTAATAACTGTAACAAGTCTATGTATTTGTTGTGGTTCCTTATACATACAGACTGTATGTATAACAGGGAAGGTATGAACACAGTTTAAAGAACACAGTCCAGTCCTTACCAATTGTACAGGCCACAAAGTAGATCCTGGAGGACTGTGTCAAAATGTCAAACCTGTGACAATAGGCCACCAGCAAACCTGTCGACAGAGAGCAACGTTCCATCACTCGGCCATTAAACAGTACTTGGTACAATCAATAGTATCTAATAATGAACGATGACTTTTGAGCAGGTCCAGTGTCTGGTGCTGATGTGTTTCATTACCTGGTACTAAGACGTCACCAAAGCCCAGGAGGGAGAAGGGCCGGTCACACAGAGCCAGTGGGGAGAAGTTCAACCTCGGCACTTTGAGCACCATGGGAAGCTGGAGGAAAACAAGAGCATCACTGCAGCTGTCAATCACTCTCCTGGATGATGTGAGAGCCTGAGGAGACCCTGTGTTTAGGCATCAGGTATCTGACGCATGGAACTTGAAAACCAGCTCACCTTTTCATGTGTGGATGAGTCAGAGGGACCAGCCGCTACTTCCACCATTATACTTTCCCCACTCTGTGGAGAGAAGAGCACGAATCACTGACGCTGTTACACAGACGGTCGACAAGTCTGAGAGGACAAGTCAGGGACATACCTTTGTAAACAAGGGAGTAACAAATACAAAGAACACGTCGTAGACAAACAGGAATGACAGCAGTAAAGTGCACGCCTGCAGAGGGAGAGAGAACAACGTCAGTTCACGGCTTCCCAGAAACCAGACGTCTCCAGTCAATCTGATGAGGGTGAATCATGACGGTATTAGTGCACCTTGAATGTAGGCAGTCGGACGGTCTTGAGCATGTAGAGGCAGAAGGCGATCCCCAGGGCGTCCTGTAACGCCCACGCCCACCTGCGAAACAAGACGCACACACACACACGTATGAGTCAGCCGACATTGCCGTCATCATTTTCTCCAACAGGATTTTTATGCACAGACGCTGCGAAGTCATCACTACATAACAGGACCTGACTCAACGGCACCTGCAGTGGAGAACAGCTGCAGTCGGACGACAGTCTGAACCATCGAATGTATTACAGATACAAAAGTATGTTGTTGTTTTTACAGGCTGACGTTGACAGAGAGCTGATTATTATTACTTTGTTTTTTTTTTTTTGACTAAGGACTGAGTTTTGTAATGTGCCCGCAGTAGCAGGAGGGAACCACTGATGACTGAGAGGACGGAGCCGTAGCATCAGGTGTGGGATCTCTCTCACTTACTGGTCTTCATTTCGAAACACCATCCAGGTGATGCTGACCCCGATGCACAGAGCTGACAGCAGCAACATGCGGACCTGTGGCCGCTTGTGTAAATACGGCAGGTTGTTCTCCGGGATCCTGTGATCACAACATGTCCAACCATTAATACAATAAATCAATTCAATAAAAACAACCCTCTAGCTCCTTCAACCAACTGTTCATGCGTCTCACCTGCACTTGCAGAAGGGAATTCTCCTGACGAACGGCCACAGACAGCTGTAGAGGCCGACAGAAGATGCCAGGCAGAAGATGCCAATCACCCAAATGGCTGAAGAGTGACAAATATTAAGGATAAGTGAGTAAATACATTTTATTGACTTTTTTAAAAAAAGGAAATTGGTGAATGTGTTTTGTTAATGATATTGTAGGTTTTCATCTGTATGATCTGACACAGGCCCTTTGTAACCATCTCAAAAAGACAACATTTGTGTTTCTCCAGTTCAGTACTGGTGTTTCTAACTAGTTGGTCTCCAGGTGAATAAAAAGCATGAGTGCTTTGACATATTTCTGTGCTCAGTTCTCTAAAAATAGTTTAAACCTTTTGCAGGTGGCACAGCTGACTTGGCTGCAGTGACCTAATTCTTTTATATCTAAATGAGAAGCAGGGTGTTGTGGTGACTTTGTACCCAGGTGGTCGTAGAAGAAGTAGAGAAGCACCAGCATGCTGCAGCACATGACCACAAACACGCAGATCATGATGGGGGTGACGTCCACTGTCTCCTCGTCCTGCTTCTCCGCGCTGTCGTCCCGCTTGTGCTTCATGTAGCGTCTGCAGGAGGACAAACAGGAGTCAGTGTTACAGTACAGCTACAGTAAATGTTCAAAACAACATTCCTCCATGACTTTTCCATTGATCACCTGATCTGTCTCTACATGTCATCAAAAAAGGGGGAATTGCCTGCTGGTACCTATGGCACTTCCCTCCTATTCTCACTTCATCCTCACTCATTAATTATTAAGCAATGTCTGAAGTTGTAAAATGTAAGTTTTGCCACAAAGGCTTGTGATAATTTATGTGCAAGTTGATGGAAAAACTGGGTATTTCTTTTTTCACTAAAGTCAATTCAGCAGGTTCAGACGTGTGTCTGGAATGGATGAAAAAAAAAAACCTCACCTTGTCTTCCTTGTTTCTTTTGGGAATATATATATATATATAACAACATCAACACTATAACCACTGCACAGAGGTTTTGAGTGTTCAAAAATGTCCACTAATGAGTGAGTCCAGATTTCAGTATCAGTTCAGTCCTGCCATCACAACCAAAAAATGTCCACTAATGAGTGAGTCCAGGTTTCAGTATCCAGTTCTCACTTCTTTCTGTCTTTGCTGCCGGCCCAGTGTCCTCCAACAGCTACGGTGCCCACTGCCATCAGGAAGATGATCACCATGTTGTAGTCCACCACTGGCTCATTAGGAGCGTACATGGCAACCAGCCTGCCTTGACCAAAAGTCTGTGAGAAAAAGACAGGGCATCATATCTGGGACTGTGACCAAAATCATCAAAATTCACACCTTAAAACTTCATCACACACAGCTTTTAATAATCTGCATTTTCTTGATTAAATGTGAGTATTTAAAACATTAAACCTTCTTACTTTGCTTATGTCCAGCATGTCAGCATAGCTGAGTAAAGCCACAGGGATGTCAATCTCCTCGTATTGAGTTTTGTTTCCTGCTGGTGGTGTCTGGAATCAAAGAGATACACTCCAGTTACTTCTCTTCGAGTCAAAGTACTACAGCAGTACAACAACGTTTATGAGTGGAAAGTTATGTTCAGTTCACCAGTCGGTCCTTGCTGACTATCAGTAGACCCTTGGCGCCGTGAATTTGTGCCAGTCGGACCTTTTCGTAGAAAGTGCAGTTTCCCCGCATCACCATGGGGATGCGATTGGGAAAGCCTCCTTCTGGGACCTCAGAAGTTGAGCACAGCATCGAGGTTGTCAGGTCGTAGATCTGGAGACGTGACTACGTGATAAAGACAATGAAGAGAGGCCGGTGGGCAACATGGGGACAATAGACCATCATTTGAGAACCACTGCCATAATCTGTATGACCAGTTGGGACTTGAGACTTGTTTACTAACGACTTACTGCCTTGTTGAGGTCCTGAGGTAGAGGTGCCCACTGGGAGTTGAAGAAAATACAGTAATCCTTTCCTTTGCTGCTGCCCTTGTTGCTGAAATGGGCCATGCCGTACTCTCCCACTACCTGTCAAAACATAAAGATCATGTTAGCATTGCTGTCGGTGCGCATGGTACGGACCGTGTTTCAAGCCTGTTGGGCTCTGACGCCAAGGAACACTCTCTGCCGCAGGAGGTTTTACAACCAGGGAACTTCACACAGTTAGGAAAAGAGATTTGTTCTCTGTTCTCTTTTTCAGGGATTGACAGTAACATTATCTGCATTGTATTGTTGGCAATTTAATTGTTGGACACATGTCCTGATGCAACCTTGCACTTTCTAACAGGCAGCTGTCTTTATGGTCAGAGTGGAGACTCCTGTCCACAGACAGCAGATCTTCTTTGTTGCAGCAACAGCATCACTGCACTGCTGTAAAAAAAAAAAACTTCAACACTGCATCACTGCACTGCTGTAAAAAAAAAATCTTCAACACTGGTTCTGCAGCTCTGACTTTAAATGTTTTCATTTAGTCGTGCTTCATATGTTAGTAATACTGCTGGGTAGATTTGATCCAGTTTATGGATTGTACTTTTAGCAAACATGACAGTAAAGATGACTTTAAATATTAATGCAGATCCTAAAATGACTACTTCTTCATGCTACATTAATAATGGATGGTAAGATAATATTACTACATATTTTATTAGGTCATGCTGACAGATTAGACAGACTCTTGTCAGAGAAGCAGGTATTTCTTAAATGTGTTAAAAGAAAAAGAATAAACAAACATGTCTGTGAAGGTTCTTAGTCATCCAGGTTCATTTTCAACAACCAAAATGACAGAATCCTCCACAGACAGTTCACTGACTTGTTTCTTTTATTTACAGATCCACAAATCACATCAACCATACCATTATATACCATGATTGACATCTTTGACGTCATCACTCGACCGTCAGGCTTTCAGCAGCGAACCTTGATCACACCATGGTTTGTTAGAAAGACCGAGCCATGAAGCTCTGTGAAAATACAGGCTCACTGAGATTTAACTCCTGACTTGGAGTCAGAGAGGAGAAGAAAACCACAGCTGAACTTAAAATTATAGTGTTTTCATAGCCATCCTCTGCACTGTGTGTTCAGAATTGACTCAGAAGCTCAATTAGTCAGCAAACGGCAAGGCTTCTGTTTACCACTTTGCCACAAAATGTGTTTGAGTGGGTTTTATTTCAGCTTCTCTGATTCAAGTCATGGTCTTAAAGTGGACATACTTATGACTATTCTCTCATAAGAATTGACAGCTTCATAGCTGTTCAATGTATCAACAGTTTATAACCTTTTTACTCAGCCTCACAGGCTGTGGTCTCACTTTGTTTTTTTCTAGGATGTGTATTCTTTGTTCTTAGTTGCAGTAGTCGTGAAAAAAAATCTTGGCTGAACGTCTGCCATTGTATATGGAAAGTTAAATAAGTTGAAAATGGTACATAGCTGAGCTCTTTAAAATGCATGCACTAACTTGTTCTGATCATTAAATCTCAGTATTAGTTCTCGTGTTGTGCATCATTTTATTGTTGTTTTATTTTAGAACTGTTCAAAATACACAGTGCTTGGAATATAGAAAGTTAAAGTTTGTCTGTTAACAGTTTACAACATACAAGCCTGTTGCTAACGTTATAAATAACAAATATAAATATTTTACCCACGCAGGTCATCGAAGAGCCGGTTCAAATATTTAAATTAAAGACAATAACAATAGCAGGTGAACATTTATACTCTGCAATGCTGTTGTGATTGCAGCAAACTGTTAGCTATCTGTTATGACTCCCAAAGCAGCCAGCTGACTGATATAAACAAAGCTGATCTTAGGAGCCGTGGTCACTCTGCTTTTTGCGTTCCATCTGAATGTAAGAGATTTGATGAGTCTGTTTCCACCTGGGCCCGCAAATGTCCCTGCAGGCTAACACTAATAGCATTCGAGCTACCCCTGCCGGAACATGCTGTAAAACCGTCAGGAAAACAAACATAGATGTCAGCTCGTCGCCGTTACGCGACATCAATGGCTCACTGGACAGTTTCCGGTCAAGTGAAGGCGGACTCTCTCACCTTTTGGACTAGAAATGCGGCCCAGAGCAGCGTTCCGGGGACTCTCATGATGCCTAGCTCCTTGTTGTTTCCCACATCCAGCAGCTCTCCGTTCAGTATCCCTTTCTAAACCTCACCAGCTGTTTACAGAACATACGCCCACTTTTATCATAAAATATGCTCTCATTGGCTATTTTCCTTGCAACGCTGTAAACACGTCACTGATTGGTTTAAACTTAAGTCAGTCAAATTGTTAGCCGCAAAGTAAATGCACTTTAAATGTACATTGCGTAGAATTGTGTTAGCCGCAAAGTAAATGCACTTTAAATATACATAGTAGTGCGTAGAATTTTAGAAAACTTATTTCATATTTAATTTACATTTATAAAAATTGAAATGATTTTAGAACTATGTGTAAGAAGGGGTGAATAAAGTATTTTAGGTCGTTTAGTTTCATTAATAATTATGTCGCACAGGAACTGTTTTATTTTGAAGGATCAAACAGGAAGTTCTGTATTTCACTATTTGACCTTGTTCAGTTTTCTCACTCTTCACTAAGGCATGCAGCTCTCGTAGACAACTGAATGGTAAGTTTAAAGTTTCTTCGTGATTTGGTTAAGTACTTATATTGTTCACAGATGTTAGTGTTCTATTGTCGATATTTGCGGCGTTCGCTATTTTTCAAACAGCGGCAGCCGCTAATCTTCCGCTGCTGCGCGACTCTTTTCGACGCAGTTGATTTTTTTTATCCTCCTGAAAGCGTTTTTCTTGGTAAGCTTTTAATAAGTTCTTGTTAACATCGGGAGCCGCATGTTTCTCAAGTGTTTGTTGTAACGACGCATACCTATGGTGCGTTTACTGACGATGTTCGACTTAGGCAAATGTCTTTGCCGGAGTCGCTGCTTTACGCTGCTTTACGCTGCTTTACGACGTGACGATTCACTTTGGCTGAAGTTTCACATAGATTACATAGACACAAACATACAGATTATAGGTGTTTATACACGATACGTATAGTGTGTGGGACAAATAATCCCTAGCCCTTTAACACAGTCCGTGGTGGACAGACGGTGAAGGCAGCGGATGATGTCAGTAGGACTGGTATGCAGCAAAGCTCTGACGTCACTCAGTTAAAACTCCAGCTGTGGCGATTCAGGCCAAATAAGGAGCAAAGTGAGCCAGGTATTAAGTTGATCTGGACGTGCAAAACACCTGGCGTTTCTGCCTTTGACTGATAGGGATTTAATAGTATCTAAATACTACAGTGTACTGTGGATTACACCATTGTGATACTGTACAGCAGAAGGATTAGCAGTGGCTGTCAGACATTGTCAGTGTCAGATGCAGGTTGACAGGTTTGATGCTGTCTGCAACTATAATTCCTCTATTTGATCGTGCACTTGAAATTCCCTAAAGCACTGATGACTGGGACAGACAAGTGACTGACAACGACACAACCACAGGCATTAACAATCCTAAAATATATCAAATGAGTCATAGCATAGTGTGAGATGTAAGGAAACCTTTTGCAAAAACCCAGAAGAGACAAAAAAGCTTTATGATTGCATAAACCTGACAACAGCACATAGTCAGAGCTGGTACTTCAAATCACTGAGGGTTTTCTGAAAGTAACTATCCACTACCAGATCTGAGTACGTAGTACTGTTTGGGTTACAGTGATGTCACTACCTTAACTTCACACTGGCTGGTGCTACTACATTTTTTTCCTTTTCACTGCAGTGAATCTAAAGGCATTGCTTCATCACACCATGGCTGGATTCAGGCAAGAAGATGTCGAGTTGTATTATGAGATGGGAGAGGAGCTGGGCAGGTACAGTAAAGCACACTCAGTTATTTAAGACCATTAGTTTTGTGCGTACAAACGAGAGATAACGGAGACACTTTAAGTTCTGAATCGACTGTGACATCATTTGAAGTAGTTTAATAATTAGTTTCTTGAATCTTTTGCCTACTTATTTAAATATTAATAACTTTACTATATTGTAACCCTATACGTGTTGTGCTTGTCATGCTACAGTGGACAGTTTGCCATTGTTCGCAAATGTAAAGAGAAGAGCACAGGCATCGAGTATGCTGCCAAGTTCATAAAGAAGCGCCGCCTGTCGTCCAGCCGGCGGGGGGTGAGCCGCGAGGAGATCGAGCGGGAGGTCAACATCCTGCGAGAGATCCAGCACAGCAACATCATCACCCTGCACGACATCTTTGAAAATAAAACAGACGTGATCCTGATCCTTGAACTGGTTTCTGGTGGAGAACTGTTTGACTTCCTGGCTGAGAAGGAGTCTCTGACGGAGGAGGAGGCCACCCAGTTCCTCAAACAGATCCTGGATGGAGTTCAGTATCTGCACTCCAAACACATCGCCCACTTTGACCTCAAGGTCAGCAGTGTGTGTAATAAGGATTGTCAGTGCAATGACTCAGAAATGACAGGGTGGATGAATGTTTACTGTAGGAGTGCATTAAACATAACAGTTACCCTAACTACAGTTCCCTGTGTCAGAGTCACCATAGGTTAAAAATTCAAAGTTAATGACCAGGTAAAAACACTTTGATATACCATCTCGAGGCTACTTTGCTAATGCTAACATAGGGACACTTTTACCTGTAAGTATCATTTAATGTTGCCAAACGATTATATTTTTGATCTGCTTATTCAAAGAACAGCAGTAGATTATTTGCAATTAATCATAATTAATAATAATACCTCATAATTAACCATGATTGTTATTAATCATTAGTCATCATTAATCACGCTCAGTCACAACTAATCAACATCCTAAATATCAAAGAAAAGATTCTGTATATTTCTAGAACAGTGAGACAAACTATACTTCTGCGTTTGTTGAATGTATTCACTTTAAACACATGTTTATTCTGTAACTGTTTTCTTCCAGCCTGAAAATATCATGCTGCTGGACAAGAACGTCCCAAACCCCAGGATTAAACTGATTGACTTTGGAATTGCTCATCAGATCAAAGCAGGAAATGAGTTCAAGAACATCTTTGGAACCCCCGAGTTTGTTGGTGAGCTTCTCTTTCATCTCATTCACACAGATCAAACATTCCATTTTGAAAATCCCTCACTCCCTTTTTTTTCTTTTTTGCTGGTTTGTGCCTACGCTAGCAAGTGGGTTATGTGCGCTTTAGATCTTAACATCTGGTTTGAATCTATGTTTTCATTCCTCTGTGTTTTACAGCACCAGAAATAGTAAACTATGAGCCACTTGGACTGGAGGCAGACATGTGGTAAGACATGGAGATGCTTTTTTTCCTGAAGCTTTTTACTGATGGGTGTGACAGTTTCCACTCATGTTTGGATCCTCTTTTCTCTGCAGGAGCATTGGAGTCATCACATACATTTTGTGAGTAATGGTTCACATCCTGACTTTGTCTGTTGTCGTTTGTAGAGACGGATATTTCTTAAATCCTTTGCATCCATATTTTCTCTACGGCTGACAGAACTTTTCATGTGTGAGCTGTTAGGCTGAAAAGCTCTGGTCCTAAACAAAATATTTGTCTCTTTCAGGTTGAGTGGTGCTTCACCATTTCTGGGTGAGACCAAGCAGGAGACCCTGACCAACATCTCAGCCGTCAACTATGACTTTGATGAGGAGTATTTCAGTAACACCAGTGAGCTGGCTAAAGACTTCATACGGCGTCTGTTGGTGAAGGATCCAAAGTAAGGAGAAGTTTGTGTTTAAAGATGGAAGAGAATGAAACAAACCAACATCTAAACATTTCATTCTGTTTGTCCTCAGGAAAAGAATGACAATTGATGACAGCCTTGGACATCCTTGGATCAAGGTTGATGTTTTATTTCAGCTTTTTATCAGTTTTCACAGCTTGATTTACTCATTGCTCAACAGTGAAAAACATTTTAAAAGGTAAAAAAACTGCCGTTCTTGGCCTTTGTTCTCACGCTAATTTTTTTTCCATCTCAGGTGATTAAGAGACGAAATGTGCGTCCAGAGGAGAGGGACCACAAGCCTGAGCGTCGACGCCTGAAGACCACTCGTCTTAAGGAGTACACCATCAAGTCCCACTCCAGCATGCCACCCAACAACACGTATGTCAACTTTGAGCGTTTCTCTCAAGTGCTGGAGGAAATCGCTTCAGCAGAGGAAGGCCTAAAGGAGCTGGAGCGCAATCAGCGATCCTGTCAAGAGGATGTGGCAGCGCTACTGTCTATCTATGAGGAGAAGGAGGGCTGGTACAAGGAGGAAAACCAGAGCATCTCCAGTGACCTGAGCCACATCCGACAAGAGCTCCAGCGCTCTCAGGCCCAGCGCAAGAAATGCCAGGAGGACACACGGGTCACCATGCAGGCCGCCAACATCCTCAAGCGCAAGTTTGGGCGCCTGGAAAACCGCTACGAGGTCCTGGCCGAGCAGGTGGCTTCCGAGGTTCGCTGGGTGGAGGAGCTGGTCAAGTCCATATCTGCAGAGAAGGACCGGCCGAGCTCTGGCAGTACACCCTGAGCTGAGCCCAGGTCTAACAATGACATTTTATTTCTCAAATATCCTCCAGCAACTATCCTCTCTGCATGTGCGCTGCGCGGAGACTAAATCAACGAGCGTCATCCTGAGCCACGCTGCAGCTGCTGTTTCCATTTAGAACAAATGTTCCATCCTCTATGTCACACTAAAGAGAACCAGCACGAAGCACAGAGAACCAACAATGAACCTGTTCCTCCATTTTTGTTTTTTTATACATTTATTTATAATTTTATAAATTCATGTACTGTAATTTTCAGCTGTAATGGTTTTCTAACTTAGAGTATCTTTTTTTTTCAACCTAACGTTATTATATCTGAAATTTCTAGAGCTTTAAAAGTCCTCGTTCCTCAATTTGAAGGTTTTTTAAGAAAGAAAAACGGCTAATTGTGTCAGGTTTGCATTAAATAAATACAGGGATGTTGAATTATTCCATTATATGCATTGCGGATGTGATTTTCTCATCTACTTTAGTAATAATGACCAACTTTTTAAGGTTCAATGTGAAAGATTAGGAAACACATTTTTGTGGTTCCATTTGTATTACACGCTAATCAATTTAAACAATGGAGTTTTTATGAGTGTGACTCCTCTAAAAAAATTACTTTTTTTCTGTTGTGATTGTGCCAAAATGAGTAATTTTTCGATTTGATAAGACCTTTTTTATGGAAACTATTAGAGAACCGTGCTCTTCTGATAAATATATATACGTATAAATCTAGTCTTTTTTTTTCCCCCCCTGATAACTAGTGTTTTGGTCAGCGATATTTCACTGCTATATCTAACTTCAGAACTAGATGCCATTGAATCTTACTCATTGTACCTTTAAGTATGGTTTTAGGTGCATTGTTTTCTAAATTAACATTTTCTGGTTAATAATTTGAAGAATTTAAAACGTATTATTTATTTCAGGTTTAAGCAATCCTGGAAGAAATAACAGTGTTGTTTGTGTGTTTTAGCTTTAGCTCACTGACGCACCATGTCCACACTTGTATACCTAAAGTGATCCCTTGCTTTAATCACAGTTTATGGTCCTGTGGAAAATTCAGCTCAGAGAATGTAGATCATCTATGCAGTGCCTGTAAAATAATCACTTACTGCCTCTGCAACCGATCATCCTCTACAAAGCTAATGTCATTGCTGTCACAATGATAACGCTCAAAGTCTTAACATGTTTTACAAAGTCGTCTCTTGAACCACCCAAGGTGCATGGAAAAGCTCTGTTTCAAATGCAACTGTTGTTTCCATTCACACCATCCCAGTGCACTTGATACATTCCAACGCTGCGTATCTCATCCAGGCAACACATTCCTCATGTATAGCCTAGAATGTACTGTATATGACCTAGTCAGTTGTATTTTGCAAAAATATATTCATTTGCACTTAAATCATTTTAGCAGTGTCTAAAAATACATTTTAATGTTTTAAAGTGGGCAACAAAGAGCTGTACAAATGTACTGTCTAGATTTGTGTCAAATAAACAGAGTTATAACCAAATGTAGTGTGTCGTTGCTCTCTTTATTTGTATCCTAAGCTAAATATGTAAAGAAAATGTGTTTAAAATAAAAAAATGAACGCATTGTACGTTTGCTTGATACACATATCTTTAAAACCCAAGTATTCTTCCTTAATAATTTATGATAATTATCATTAATAATAATAATAATGATCCCCTTAAGCCTGTATAACACTAAGCATAGCGTTCACTACGTGTGTTATACCACCAGAAGTCTTGGGGGCGGTGTTGCACTTGTCCCCCATAAACCAAACAGTAAGAAGAAAACAACAAACGGGTAACAGTGCAAACGTCGCGGCCACGAAGACAATTCCGTTTAACACAAATAACTGCTTGTTATTGTCTGATAAACTGACAATGGCCTGGAAACCGTCGCTGAACTCATCACTGCTCTTTATTAGTTATTTTATTTAACAGGCATGCAACACGGAAGTAAACGAGTAGTTAAGATTAAATCGGACGTACCTATATATGTACGTAAAGGCTGTGTTGAAACTTGGGCTCCCTCTAGTGGTACCTGGGAGAGTGCCTTTAGGTAAGTAACTGTTAAATACAGCAGCACTCTAACTTTGTGTTTTTGTGGTTTCAGAATTTAATTTAAGTCCCGGTTTTAGGGCTTTGTACAGTCTTTGTACAGTCTGACGACTTTGTGAACTAACTAACTGTGAGAGCAAAATAATTGAAGGGAAGGTACAAGGTGTAAAAAAAGTTGACAATAAGGTGTTTTTACAATTTAATTTATATTTCAATGGTGGCAATAATAACAACGTTTTCTTTTATAATAATTACAACCCCAAATAATAAGTAGACAACATCTGTTTTGTAAACTTTCATATTGTACAACGTCCTTGATGTATTTTATTATAAACAATACAAATAGCATTTTAAACCATTCCAAACAAATGTATAGTAGAGGTAATCGAGGGTAGATGCTTCAGTTTGAGTTCATATCAGCTGCTCGACTGACTGGACTTTGTCTCACCGGTCTGATGGAAACACTGGTGTTCTCACTCAGGGGAGAATTCCCCGGCAGTGTTATCAAGATTATCCCGATCTGGGTTGGTGAGTGGATAATCCCAGGGCAAGAAGATTCTCTCAGACTCTTTCTTTTTTTATTCATCTTTCAGAGACTGTATTTGGGCACAGAGTTTGAGAGCAGGTCCCAGTTTAAGGTTCATGGTGCTGACCAGATGATCCTCCGTGAGGAGCAGTAGAGCCTGGCCATCGATTTCCTGAGAACGAAACTCCTCGGCAACAACAGAACCACCTAGTGGAATAAAAAGAAGAACCCAGAATGAAGCTGTGGAAATAATAAAATGCAAATTCATCCCAAATCACTGAACTTAATCCTGCAGGTTTTTGACTGTGAGAAAAACCAGGGAACTTGGAACAACATGCAAACCCCACACAGAAAGAACATCAGTTACCACGGGTTACTGAACCAGGGATCATCTTTTTGTAAGGCAGCAGCTCAAATCACTCAACCACAATGTGGCCCATTCTGCAATTGACGTTGGTTTTATTACCAGGCAAGGAGTAGATGTAGGAAAACACTTGTTCCACATTCCACTGTGAAGGAAGACCGTCATCGTCCTCTCCATCAGAAACACTGATTGTCTCTGGCATCACCCGCTCACTCTCCCTCTCCTGCTCCCTCTCAGTCAACTTCTGGAGTCTGGTTTTCATTGGAGCAGGATGCTCATCTTCCTGCTCTTCCTCTTCCTGCACCTCCTGCAGTTCTTCATCTCTCTCTGAACACTGCTGGCTCCTCACAGGAGGGTAGGAGCCCTGAGCCTAGGAAACAAGAAGACAGCATCATCTGTGGTCCTGAGTATCTGGTTTTGTCAAGTTCCTTGACACAATCTCAATTAATTTTAGACGAACCATAATACTTTTAAACATCTATTTTTTTTACATTCATGTGTTTCCATTTAACACACCACTAATCTTGCGTAAACCACAGTATTTCTCAGGTCATTGAAGCAAACTCACCCGTCTCAGAAAGGCTACATTCATTCTGCTTGGTGGTCGTCCTCTCCGCCCCAGTGGTCTGCTGCTCCAGCGGCCTGCTCTTAGTCTGGTGACACGCTTGGTGCAGCTCACGTTGAACCTGACAGAGAGAGTCAATGGAAGTAAGCTATCTATAAGACTTTGATATTTGCAGTTGGTCAGTGTTTGTACGTCTGGACTGGTAAATTGTCTTGATTGTGTATTTGAAATAGTCCAAAAACAAGCATTGGATCAGCATGCTTGGAGCAAAACTGAAACTTTAATTCTACTGTTTGGTTGTTAATTCGAAGTTGTCAATGCGTGTTTAATGAATTCACCTTCTGACACATGTCATGGAACAGAAGCGTTGTGAGCGCAGGAACGTCTGGGCGTAACCTCTGCCTCCACAGTATTCACACTGCAGTAATGCTGCTTCTGCTTCGTCTCCCAGCTCTGAAACATCACAACTGAGAGTTCATCCCTCTCACACTCTCTCTGACACACACACACACACACACACAGTCGGTCCTCACCCTCTGCTGGTGGACCACCGTTTTCCATCTCGGAGTCTGAAGATTCCGACAGGTCAGCATCCACGGGGCTGTCCTCGGCTGCTGGACTCCCGTTGGTGTGAATGTCCTGTGGCTCTGGAAGTGAAGCCTGCTGCTCCTCTGAGAGCGAGGATGAATTCACCTTCATGGAGATGATGGAAAAATGTAGGTGACCATAACAGCAGAGCAGCTGTTCCTCTCAAACTAAAGCTGTGTTTTACCAGCAGCTGAATATTCCGTTATGAGTGACTTGAGCTGACTTACTGGGAACGGCTCCAGTCCCTCTCTGATGACGAAGCCCTCGATCAGGTGTGTGAGGACACTGCTTGTGCACATCCTGTCAGGACTTCCTGGGAGGCTGGTGGGGGCAGAGGTGATCTGAGGGGGACTTCGGACTGCAGTGGGGGGAGCAGACATAGGTAGAGGAGGAGAAGATGAAGGGGGAGGGTGGTGGCTGATCGTAGTGAGGGAGGCAGACTTCTCCACCTGTGGTATTTTTATCACCGACTGGCTGGACGTGGTGGAGGCCGAATGTTTTTCTGTATGAGCATAGAAAAAAGGTTTTCAGACTGCTGAATGAATTCATGAAATAAATCAGTGGGTCCATGTTTTTAAAGTCCTTTATATTTACCTTCACCATTTTGCTTTGACGGTACGATGACAGCTTCAGGGGTCTTGTCCTTCTGTGGACTAATCAAACTTCCTTCCTTCGTCTCTTCTGGACTCAGTCTTTTCTCCTTAGACTCCTGCGCTGCCTGAATTTCACTGAAAGTCATTGATGAGCTCTCTCTGCGTCCTACTAAATGGACCTTCAGGTCAACAGCCACCGTCTGAGGAGGAGGCAGGTTTTGGTAAGGCATCAGGTTTAGGGCCTCCGCTATAGAAAGCTCTTGCTCTGTCCGCAACCTCTGCCCTGTCTGCACTGCCAATGCATGGACAGAGTGCAGGGAGAACCTCTGAAGGGAGGCAGGAGGATTTGGAGGCAGCCTGTGGAGAACCAGGGGTGGTGGAGGAGGTGGGGGCTGATTCTGAGCCTGTAGGATTGAAGACTGTCGCTTCGGAGCAGCCACCAGAGGAGGAGGCTGAGATTGAACAGTGGCAGCTGGGATGGAGTTTTGAGCTGAAGATGTAGTCGCAGTGGTAACAGATGGAGAAGAAGAAGAGGACAAAGGAGCGGAGGAGACTTGGGGGTCAGTGTTGGTCTGTGTCTGGGTGCTGGGTGTGGTCAGTCTTTTTATTGAAAGAGAAAGAGGTTGGCAGTTTGGTTCTTGTGGGGCGACTTTGAGGGCAATAGGATGGAGACGTTTGTGGTTCAGGGCACCTGCAGTGGCTTGCTGAAGGATGAGCTGGTGGTGCGCCACCTGTTGGCCTGATGGACAGCTCAACGGCTTCTTCTCCAGAGTATGTGTATGTACTGGAGAAAGGGCTGTAGTGGATGGATCAAAGTTTTCCAAAAACAAAGGATACAAGTAAAACATTAAATGGCAATTTTAAATTCTCCTCTCAAACAGAAACAGAACAGAAACACATCTAGTGTGACTCACATGTATTTAGCGTCCGAGGTCCAGGATGATCTGTTTCATCGATCATGTGGTTGGTCTTTACAGCACAGACTGAGGTCTTGGACACAGAAGCAGCTGAAAAGGGGACTTGAGTCTGAGGAGTTGGCTTTAGGACCACACTGTTGGCTGCAGCTAGAGCTCCAGGCAGGTGAGCATGCAGAGACAGATTATGAACCTGAAAATATGTAAACATGTTTAATTCATTACACACCTTATCATTGATCATTTGTACAGGAAGATTTTTTTTTTAACCTCAGAGGAGGTCGGCAAGGTGGAGCAGGAGGTGAACGCAGGGAGCTCTGAGTGAACTGCAGCCACTGGAGCTGCAGGAGTTAGAATTAACTAAAAGAGAAAAACATTGAATCAGGAATAGAGATAGACGTACAGATTCATAGCATTCGAGACATTAAATAAAAAGACCGGTACCATCTGAGTCCGAAGATACATCTGAGCTTGGTTACAGTTGGCCGGTCGGTTTCCCAGCAGCATGGCCTGCTGGGATACTGTGGCTGCAGCAGTGGAGTTGGACGTTTGGCTGCGGCCAATCAGGTGGGCTGTCACTGAAGATGCTGGTAAAGTGATCTTGATTCAGAGAGGGATGAGTCATAGTGTAGTCACAGAGGTGAATTTAATATTTTTGTTGAGGTTCATTATAGAGGAAAAAAAAGTAAATACTTACTGAGGTTTGAGAAACACCAGCAGGAGGAACCATACCGTCAGTGGATGAGGGAGATGACAGCTGCCTCTGACAAACAGAAGCCTAGTGATGGTGTTGTGCAAAAACATACTAATAAGTTTCAATTCTTTTACAATCTTACATTCAAATAATTCTTTAGACCCTCATACTCTCTCTCTCACACACACAGACCTGTGGAATGGTGGCCAAGCTCTGCAGCTGAGGTTTGTGCTGGTACTGGCTCTGCTGCAGGGCTGCTGTCTGCAGCATCAGGTGCTGCTGCTGAGCTGCGTACATGTGATGCAGGTACTGAGCTGCCATGCTCTGAGGTCTGTGGATGGTGTGCTGGATCACCTGTTTGGTCGTGACATGAAAACATTATTTGCTGTAATTATAAAACAGTCTGTGCAGCTTACTCTGGTACTGCCTCTTACCCGAACTGCCTGTTGGTCTGAGGGCAGGATGCTAAGGGAAGCTAAGGGTGCCTGCGTGCACAGTGTGCTGTCGCTGCAGCTGGTTGTTGCCATGGTGACAGTAGTTGGTGTGGTGTAGGTGTGAGCGTCTATGGTCTTCACTGCCTGCATGTCTGCTGGGCTCTGCCGTTCCATTTCCCAAACAGAGCACACCTCTAGGAATGGAAAACTGTAGGGATATACATTAACAATGGGACGGTTAAAACACAACGTTTCAGAACAAAGTGGAGCAAAAGATGGTTCAGTATTTAAACCATTGTTTAATCGATACGTATTTAATGTTGTTCTGTGACACTCACAGAAAAAATAAAATAAATAAAAGCACCATGGTTAGGTTTTACATTTCTTTTCCCAGCAGGGATATGCAAACCCCCTTGTGGTACGTGAAGGTATTGCAGGAGATACGCAGCGCATATTATATTTTATATTAACTACATTAACTAACTAATTTATATACATATTGCTATATTGCTTGAGAATAATTATTTTAAAAATATGAAGGTCTTACCTCTGAATGACAAAAATGCCTTAACATTAGAAAGAATCCTATCATTTCATGTCTTGTTGATCGATTGGATCTGATGTTAAACATTTCTATAGAATTTCACCTCATATCTTAAATATATTAGATAAAATATGTTATTACAAAAACTGTTTTATGTCCTTATGACGCCACTATTTTCCAATGAAAATGATCGAAAGCCGACAGACCGTTTTTTTTTTACCTTACACAAGGCTTATTTATTTCCTTAATAGAATATTTTTTCTACAGTAAGGGAACCAACGCTGTAAATCACGTACCAAGCATACGGACTGATATAACTGATTATCGATCAGTTATTTTTTGCTGCAGACTCGCTAATTAAAATTGAAGAGACGCGATATATCCTGTGCCCAGCACAAAAGCGGTCTCGCCTCAGGTGGACTGTCCACCCTCCAACAAAAGCGGGCTGGTGGTCGCTGCTTCTCCCCCCGCTCACCACATCCATCACTCATGCACATCCATTCACCTCTGATCGGCGGTGTACCTGTCTGCTACAGAGGGACACGGGGCATCAGGAAGTGACCATAGCCCGGCACAGTGTTATAGTCATGGAGCCTGCTGTTGCTGCTGCTATTGCTGCTGTTGCGTCAATGCTCATGCGTATACAATGGAGATAAAAAAAAAAAAAGCTAACAGTAACAACCAATTAAAAAAGCCTTGGTACAGCACCGCTCCGAGTGCAGGAGGACCCTCCACATGGAATTCTGCAGCTGCTGCGGCCGCTCCCTGCCTACACAGTCCTGGGGAGTGAGTGTCCCACATCAGCTTTTATGCATTTTCAATTTAAAGCATTTAATGAAAATAATATTCAATCAAATTATATTATTTATTCAAAAGGCCTAGTAGATTTCACTCTTTTTTGGCCGCCAAACAATTTTAGACGTATTATTATTACATTGTTATAATATTACAACCGTGCGTTATCGCTAATGTTTGATTGTTCCGTTATTTTTAGTGCATTGTTAATATCAATATATTTATGGTGTCATATAATATTTATGACTATTATGACACCTTGACTCGTGACTCCCTTCACAAGTTCAATGTTGCAATTATTGTGTGATGCGGGGCCCACTGTGATTTGTTTTTCTATAATAATTGTAAAACATGTTCTGCTCTACTTTGAGTAATAATTTATCAATAAAATATTGACTACAAATACGATTCACCAGGCCCCGATGTAAAAACTAAAGTCTATTGAGGCTAAATATATTTTGTGACTTTGGGCTATAGAAAAAGAAATGACCTGACTAACATACAGTATACTTTATCCATTTATCTATCCATACAGGTCGAAAACGATTTATTCATTTTTTAAATGACAGACTACCCTGCCAGGGTAGTCTGTCATCGTTTTAATAAGTCCATAGAAACATATTACAGAATTAAAGTCTATTTTGCAAAACGTCCATTTTTTAAAAAATTAAACAGCCCAAGGATAACTAAATTAACAGGCACAGTTTAAATAAAATAAATAAAAATGTTGTTTTATGAGTATAGTTTCTAAAAAAAACCCGAATTTAGTTAAAGAGGTGGAAAAAAAACATGGTATACTGTTACATGTCATATTAGGGACAGCTGAAATGTCCGAGGTCAAATGTGTACACGTGAATGTAGCACATACACGAAAACATATTGACTTGGTACAGTCGAAACGAATTAGCCAGCGACATACTTTGACCAGTTTGAATTTCGAAACGAATTAGCCAGCGACATACTTTATAAAAGGAATGTTGACCAGTTTGAATAAAAAAAAACAGCCTTGCGTGAGGGTATTCGATTTAAAGTTGTGATTGTTAATCATTTGAACTTGTGTATTAGGTATTATGTACATTCTACCAAACGTCAAGTTGAATGCTACCCCAAACATTCCAACAGTGGACTCTTCCGCTATTAGGCCTTTGCAGTAGGGAGTTGTTTGGCGAATCTGGCAAGTTTTTTCTAAACTTCTCATGTATTTTTTGGTTGTTCAGAGCGACGAGAATCTTCGTTTTTGTCATCCCCAGTGTCGTTATTATCTCGACTTGTCGACGGACTTTAGCAACAAAGTGTTGCTGAGCGTAACACAACTACTCAGCTGAAGGAAAGGAGGAAGGTATCAGTGAGTTGGACCGACTGCGGCTGAGCTTATGATGCCGACGTTGCGGGACAGTACTATGTCCCACCCCGGCGAAAATTCCCACCAAGTCCGGGTGAAAGCCTATTACAAGGGGTAAGGAATCAAATTGACTCTGTTGTGTACTTTATATACTTCACGAGCCCAAATAGTGGCTGCTTTATACTTGAAGTTGAGGTTAACCCGTCTGCTAACGTTAGCAAACACAGCTAACGACAGGCTAACAGTGGGCACTGGGTTTCGGTGAAATTGACCAGGTGATACTGTCCACACACACACCCACACACACAATGACAGTTACTAACATGACTTACGTTTTCATTTCAAACGTGGGTATTAGACAGTGAGCATTTTGTAATCCTTTAAATTGGCCTAAATTAGTTGTTGAGCGAGCTAATAGTTAATAACACGAGCGAAAAGAGCGACTTACTATCTGATTTTGCCTCAGATTCAGATACAATATTATGTTAAAGCGAACAGCTTGGCTATTTGCGTTGATTGTCAATACAGGGTTTGGTAGGAAATCAGTGCAGTCTCAGTACCAATTGATGTAATCTTTTGTTTTGTTGCTATAGTTTTATTTCCTTGTAGTTATCCCAAAGAAAAGTCATGTTATAACATTGTTACCTATTAGAAACAAAACTGTATATTTAACTGTACATTTAAATACAGCATCATTGCAGCCTTGATACCTTTTGATATTATGTTTTCTTTGTGATTACAGTATATATATGTATGTGTGTGTGTGTGTTTTAAAAAGCTGCTAAAGGAAAGCGGATAACAGGAGAGACCCAGAAGTGAACAATATTATTGTTACTGTAATAAATGCTAGAGTACATCCCAGCAACTTGATAAAGTGGCTGTACCAATCCATCACAGGACCAAATTCAGTGACTAACAACATTTTTCACTCGTATTCATACCTGTGGTCAGTATAAAGTAGACAATTAACCTTATCTTCCATCTGCTTATTAAATACTGTGACGGGAAACTGGGAAAAACCCATTGACAGGGGGAGAACATGCAACCCCTTACAGAAAAGATGATCTGTTAAAAGCTGTATTCTATGTGCCATCCAAAATTCTACCATGTGGCCCACCACTTACATACATACATTACTTTAAAATATCTGGTGATTTATGAAGTGTTTGGTTTATATGTACATGTGTACAGATCTACTTCAGTTTTGGAATTGTTACTATACTGTAATTATTTCCACTAATGACAACTATAATAATATGGTTGATTACAATGTGTTTTGAGTTAAGTTACCACTGAAAAATCATTCAATATTTTAAGACATTATCACAGCCTATTTTTAATAGAAAAATTATTATGACAAAAAGTTCTGTCTTCTCAGATACATTTATGATCTTATTTATTTGCTCCTTAATATCAGCATTATATTTTTTTGTCTTGAACATTTGAGTTTTTGTTTTATTTTATACAAAATTGCTTAGTAAATTATACATTACATTTTAAATATAAAGCTAAATCTATATAAAGACATTTTAACCATTCATTCAGAAGGTAAAGCTCTGGTAAAAATACCTGAGACTTACCTCCCATTTGCACTAACGGTATTTAAAGTAGAAAGCCAACATTGTTATAAAATCAGAAACCTCACTATTACTATTCTGTCCATATGTGATCTACAACCATTTTAGACATCAGGATGATGGAAATCACTGGTCACCACATCACTCGCATGGCACACCCTGCCCCACTAACTCTGTTTGGTGGAGACCGTGATTGGAGCCCAGCCAACTTGAAAAACATGTAGTGCAGGTTACCTCAGCTAGACCTGTTGTATTTCTTCCCGTCTCTGTGACACACCTCAGGAACTCTAATGTGCCTTCATCATTGGATGTCATTTTGCCGACCAAAACATGTGAGGTATTTATGAGCTTGCTGCTGAGGAATTCCAGCTATGATGGAAAGCAGAGAAATGGATGGGTCTCATCATTTGGCTTTTGGGACACATTAGGGAAAGGTTTTATCAGGGACTTCCCCTTTGCAACAGTTCAGAAAGAAAATGATGTGTTATGCAGTAGCTTAACATCAACAATATCAATTAACTGTATGTTCTATTTTTTGTAATTTGAGTTTTCTTTTCCTGAAAATTCATTAGAACATAATAACAGCATTAGTCACCCACATCCTCCAATTAACCCTCCTCTCCACTTATATGGTCATAACGGAAGCTTCAATTCTAAGTAACTGTTTATTACAAACCTAATTAATGCATTGGGGCAACTGTTGTCATTTTGAATTATATCCTTAAGTGTTTTTGGTAAGGCTGTCAGCATTAAATTAGTAAATTTTCTTGTCAAAAACATTTATTGGAATAAATTAAGTTTGTTTTGTAGCATAAAATGTATGTCATAATGAAGTGGAAATGTTTTA